GTGCACAGTGAATGTTGGTAGAGGAGAATAAACTGCAGGGTATTTGGATGAGGTTTGTGTCGTTTCTTGTTGTTTTAGTGTGAGCAGACGAGGTGAAGGGCCCTGGGTTGGGAGAGACATCATCAGCTGCTAGAAGTAGGAGGAGAGATGGTGACAGGAGATATTAATGAGTTTTATATGGGCGGGGTCTAGGATGACATTGGGTGGGAGCAGGAGAGAAAGAATAGAGAAATGAGTGCATGGCGTGAGATGAGAGAAGGGGGGAGTGTAGCAGAGATGGATTAACGTGGATGTGATTGTGTTGTTGAGGGAAGTGGGTGTAAGGAGATATTTTGATGCTGAGGGAGAGGAGAGAAAAGGGAAGAGGAGCAGATAGAGCATTGATCGGATTAGTAAGTACTTTGAGAAAGCAGAGTGGGCCGAAGTAATGAGAATGAGGACTGAGTTTTAGTGGTTAAGGGAGTGTAGGAGTGTTCTAAATGCAGGTAGTGTTTGTAGCTGTAATTTCTAATTATCTAAAATTGTATGTGAGATTCTGTCTATAAATGGAATAAAGAGCTTGGGGTGATGAGGGGAGGGGTGGGCGCACAACTGAGAACTGTTCTGGTTATTTTAGCTTTCTACTTGCCGTCGGCACCTGGGGCCGGGCAGGCAGCTGGCTCACCTGCGGCCGCAGAGAGAGCTCTTCTGGCGGCCGCAGGGGGAGCTGGCTGTTCTGCCTCTGCTCCCCCTCCCCAGCGCACTGCTTACTGAGACCGGGGCCGGAATATGATGTCATATTCAGGCCCCGGTCTCATTAAGCGGCGCGCTGGGGAGGGGGAGCAGAGACAGAACAGCCAGCATCCCCTGCGGCCGCCAGAAGACTCAGCTCCTCCATGCGGTCGCCAGCACAAAGGTAGAAATTATGTGTGTCAGTGTGAGTGTATGTGTGTCTGTGTCATGGTGTGTGTGTCTGTCTGTGTCATTGTGTGTGTGTGTCTCTGTCTGTCATGGTGTGTATGTCTGTGTAATGGTGTGTGTGTCTGTCTGTGTCATTGTGTGTGTTTGTCTGTGTCATTGTGTGTGTCTCTGTATGTCATGGTGTGTGTGCCTGTCAGTGTGACTGTATGTGTGTCTGTGTCATGGTGTGTGTGTGTCTGTGTCATTGTGTGTGTGTCTGTCTGTGTCATTGTGTGTGTCTGTCTGTGTCATTGTGTGTGTGTGTCTCTGTCATAGTGTGTCTCTCTGTGTCATGGTGTGTGTGTGTCTGTCTGTGTCATGGTGTGTGTGTGTCTCTGTCCGTCATGGTGTGTGTCTGTGTCATGCAATGTGTGTCTGTGTCATTGTGTGTGTGTGTGTGTCTGTCATGTAATGTGTGTCTGTCTGTGTCATGGTCTGTCTGTGTCATGGTCTGTCTGTGTCATGGTGTGTGTGTGTTTGTCAAGGTGTGTGTCTGTCTGTCTGTGTCACGGTGTGTCTGTGTCACAGTTTCTCTTTTTTTTTTTTCGTTTGACATCCCATTTTTGTATTTTGTGTCGTGGTGTGTCTGTGTCACAATGTGTGTTTGTGTCACAGTCTGTCTGTGTTATGGTGTTTTTCTGTCATGGTATGTGTGTGTGTCTGTCATGGTATGTGTGTGTCTCTGTCATGGTGTGTGTCTGTCTTTGTCATGGTGTGTCTGTGTTTCTGTCTGTGTCACGGTGTGTGTGTGTCTGTGTCACGGTCTGTCTGTGTCATGGTGTGTGTCTGTCATGGTATGTGTGTTTTTACTCACCTTTTCCCCTCCCACGTCGTGCTGGTCTCCCCTCGACTGGCCCTGCCTCTATGGCTGAGATCATCAAGCTTGATGATCTCTGCCAATCCACACTGACACAGGAATCACCTCTAGTGACCGTCTGAGTGTCTGTCACTAGGAAGCAATGTAAACACTGCCTTTTCTCTAAAAAGTCAGTGTTTACATTGAAAAGTCTGCAGGTACAGGCTATAGACCCCAGAACCACTACATTAAGCTGTGTGTGTGTGCGCGCGTGTGCGTGTGTGCGCGCGCGTGCATGCTACTGAGTGAGCTTGTGTTTTTATGTCAATGACCTTATGTATATCAGTGAGATTGTTTGTCTATGAGGCTGTGTATCAATCAGCTTGTGTCAGTGAGATTGTCTGTGTCTGCATGTGAGTATGCTTACTGTATAATTAAAAATGTTACTCTGAAAGGACCAATATTTTATATTGGAAAAAGCAATATATATATCAATCATCTAGGGTGGCAAGACATAGCCTTACATATTACACGCAACAATATATGGCGCAATGACTTATGGGGCTGGCATAGATTTTTTTTCCAGGGCTGTTTGGAATCCCCAGTCCGGCCCTGGAGGTAACCATGTAGGGAAATAAAACCATTAAACAAATAACACGAAAGATATATGGGCCTGAGCTGGTTAAACTAACTTTAACATAATGGACAAGACATAAAGGTGATGAAATATGCAATGTGCCAGGGATAAGTAAAGTATGACTCGCACAGGCTTACAAAGTAATGGAAATATATACATTTAAAGTCATAAAATAAAATAATAATCACTAAATATAAAAACACACACAACAGCATAAATAACAGGGTATGTAAAATATAATGAAATGCTGGTCCTCCAGAAGGCTACCTGTTGCATATGGCAGTAGAACAGCTGATAGAGTACTGTGTTGCTTGCAAGTCCTGGATACCTTTTAAATCAAGCTGTTTCATATGGCATATCATGATCAATGTCTGGGCAAAAAGTAGGTCTGGTCACCTGCAAATCATCTTGGCTATATAAATAGGCCTTATACAAAACTCCTCAAATTAGCTATCAAGATCTCACCAAAATCCTATCCCAGATATAATAAACTCATGTCCCACTGAGAGGCTTGCAATGTTTGTCTTGGGGAATGGGGGTTTTTATTTGCTCACAAACATCACATATCTCTGTGTTGATAGTTATATCCAAGAGCAGCATGAAATATAGAGATTTGACAGATAGAGGCTTCTGGCGGTGTGATGTACAGCATGAGATATCTCTGGAAACTTCATCAGTATGTCCTGCAAAGCATGCCAAATAATTTACAGAGCTCTGTGCATGCCTAAAAGAATTGCATGGAATTCAAAATGAACTCAAAATGAATTTCAAATTGAAGGACAAAGTAGTTGAACTTAATTTTTACAGTTCACCTTTTTGCACTTAAATTTAAAATTTATTTTGAATTCACTTTCCCTGGAATTCTCACTTTAGTGAATGATCCTGATAGTGGGATATTTACCAAAGCACCTTGACCTGAAAACTGTGTAAAAAAGGAAAGTTGTAAAAGAGAAACAGTGACATTTATTGTGGCTGTTGGTTCTACCGGTTTCCATGTTAATTACCCCATCTTTAGTAATTTGCATGCCAGGTGCACTGTCATTTTAACCTTTGTTTATTTGTGGAACACCATAAATACTCATAATTGTCTGGCAGCCTGGTCAACCCTGGCCACCACCCCTTACCTTTACCCCTGGACAACTAGTACATGGGGGGGCAGGGGGGGTCATGACTGCTGCCCATGGATTGTGGGCTGGATTTAATTTTGATACTTATGTGGCAATTTGGAGGGTTTGAAGGGAATCCAAAGGAGGAGACTTACAAGTCTGCAGAATCAGTTGTGGGACCAACACTATAGAACCCATTACATTCCCATGCAGTCTACAGCTCCTCCCCCACATACTTTAGCCCCTATCCACATTCACAGACACCAAAATACAAACAGCCCTCCACATGCATAAACTATAACAACCCCTTCCACACACACAATCCCACAAGCAACATCCCCACAAACAAGAAAAGCCCCACAGATACAATATTGTATGCAGCCTTCCTATGCTCACAGCATCACAAGCAACATCCCTCCACACGTAACCTCACAAGCAGCCTCCAAACACATACAGCACCACAGGCAACTGCATGCGCCCAACAACATGCTCCAGCTTTGTCCTCTGGTGCCTGACCTATTCAGACACTAGAAACAAGTAGACCAGTAATCTCAGAGTAGGCTTATCATTAAATTCACTTGCACAGTGATTAACAAACACAGGACCATTTGAGAGCTCTTCAGCAGGGCTCTGTATACAAGCTGCCATGGAAGATTACTAGACTAACTTTGGGGGAGTTTGTGTGTCATTGGTGGTGACATTTCACACCTCCTCGCTGACCCCCCCCTCCTATTTTGTCCCAGTCAAGCCCTGGACATAGCACACCTCTTGCTTTTTTAATAAATGCCCCCTAACAAGCTCTTCTATGCTCTTGTCACTAAAAGGCCACAAAAAGTATAAACACATTTTCCCATTTATTGGTTTAAAGCGTAATATACTCCCCTAAAGAACTAACCGTTTTAGTGATGTTAATTAACATATTAGCTGATATAGCCTTACATATATTCATGACATAGTCTGATTTTAATGTTAAAAGCATCTATTGCATTTGGAACCTGCTTTTTCTCTAAACTGGTAATATCAGCCCAAGAAATAGTTTCAATCCCATCACTAGATTAGCCATGAAAATGAAAACATTTCAGAATAAATATTAAATAAAATTATTAGTATGGGTGGAACTGTAGTATGGGTGGTACTGTAAATTTGTTAAATTAATGGTAGAAAGATAATGAATCATTGTCTACAAGTAAATATAATCAGTTTATATAGAGTAAATTTTAAATTTCTTAAAATACATTTTGCTTGTCACTAATTCTTAATTGTGTTTGAAATGTCTTTCCTAAGTAAATCAAACCACCTCCCAAAATACAAACATCCTGGGTCAGACTAACCCTCCGCAATATGGATATGGTTTAGCATTTCTTGCATAGACTGTGCCAATCCCAAAGTCTCCACCCATAGCTTGTCTCAAGGTTGCAGTGGCATGTGTCCTGTGTCTACTCTATAAAAGAGCCATGTTAGTCTTTGAGCATCTGTTCCTCTATTGACAATCCCCAAATCGGTACCTAGTACCGCAGGCAAAATGGGGACAAATAGGGGGTTATGGATATGTATAGGGGGCCTCCTGATGATACTTGCCTGTGTTCAAGGTGAGTACTAAGTGGTAAAAACAACCTAATTACGGGGGAAATTCTGGAGCAAGGAAGCATCTAATAACCTATATAATAAGCATGTTATGTTTTGTTGAAATTAAATTAAGAACTACTTGTAATTTTCTTTATAGCTTGTGTTATAGTATTATAGCTGTAAAATCGTCTTCATGCTTGAGGGTGGATGTTTTCAGTGTAGTGATTCCGAACATAGTGGAAAACCCTTATCTTTATGTTTGACTCTAATGATCATGATGTGTCTGTGTACATTTTCCTTTTCAATAATTGCTTGCCATGTTTACTTGTATCATATTTTTAGGTGCAACTCACCCAAACAATACTAATTCTGGTGAAATTCCATATTCATCATTAGGGAAAATAAAAAATATTTAAACATATTTAGAGTAAAAAATTACTTTCATTATTAAATATTTCTCTAGTAATTTACTATTCAATGGACTAGTATATGTTTTGGATGCCCCATGGTAATTATATTTTATTTAGTAAACCTGTAATTGTAGATAATTGAGAAAGGGAATGCAAATATTAGGCCAAATTGGTAAAATAACTCAATTAATTTTGTATGAGTGCAGGAGTGTCTTGGCATCTTACTTTTCGTGGTTAAAACATTTTAAACTGTTTTAAACGTCAGAGCCAGACCTTCAGCACCTACTCCTGGCTCTCCTCGCAGCCTTTCTTGTTTTGACAGTGATAGGCTGAGAGGAGAGGAAGGAAATTAGAGGGACATCTGTGTCAGTCAGAGAACCAACATCTGGGTTAAATCCATAACAATTTCAAAGAGCCTCCGTAACAACTTCAATAAGGGGAAATTGTTACTGAGGTGGGAGTTTTCCTGTAAATTGCAGATTTTTTTTCCACTTTGGTATTTTGTCCTAAAATTGGCAATTCTGTGGGCATTCTTCACAATTTCTGGTTTAGTGAATACATTTGTATATTCCTTGTGTATTATTAGTTTGAAATTATATTGTTTCTCTAACATAAACCTCTTTGTCATTAGGATGCAAAATAAAAATTTACAGAGATTCCAACATGACAAAAATTAGAATACTTTTTAGTGATGGACAATGCAATAGAAATATGGAGATTGTTGACTAAGGCATACTATAAAGATTGATGAAATAATTGGCTGATCCTTCTCAACCACAGATGACAATGATATTTCTTGCTGCTCTATGCCATACGAGTATCCCAGATATAGTCAAATTACTTTATTACCCCCAATAATTTGGTTAAGAGAGTGTGAAGCTTTCCTTGGGGACTGTGGAACTGGGAGACACATTTTCTGACCATCTGTCCCTAGCCTTGAGTACTTTCTAACATGTTCCTTTTTTGTTTTTTTCATTTTAGTATCAGGACAATCACACCAACATATGCAACAGGAGCAAAATGCAGGTAACATTTTGTGCTTAATGTCTTAGTTTAGTATTTTCCCTTCGTACCACAGTTTACACCAGTTAATTAAATATTCAATATAGCTTGTATGGTATAAACATATTTATACATTCACAGGGTACCAGCATCCTCTGATTCTGTATATGCACACTGAATTAAAATAACAATAGTTTATAAAGTGGATACATTTCAAAATATGCAACACTAGGTATAATTTTAAATACGGTTTTGTGGCATTATGAGACATGCGTCTTTTTCATGAAAGATGGAATTGATTAAATTAAGTGCTGTGTTTATCTTCATTTTAAAACAATTCATTTGAATAATTCTAAATGATGCTTCTAAAAAGAGAAGACAAAAAAATAATCATTAAAAAAGTTAATGATTCAAGATGGATGACTCTGTTACGCTTTTATCAATATTTAAGCATGAAATGTAAATGATGCATGCATTTGACATTTTTACTAATGGAAAAAATATATCCCTCCTATGAGATTTAAGTAATTAAACATACTTACTCAGAAACATATAAAACATATTCTGAAGGGCAAAACAAATAACACAGATATAAAAGGATTAAACTACAGCTAATAATCAAACAATTAAAGTCTTTGGTAACACTACATTGATGTATGTCTGCCTGGGTACGCTTCATGTCTCTTTGACATGTTAATCCATATTGTAGATCTGGATGTACCCAATCTGTTATTCAGTCTTTAGCTGCTTGAGTCAAATGTCCAATAATCCCCTGCTTAGTGAAAGATTAGTATATAGACCTTCAGTAAATACTGAAGATCTATATATACTACCCAACATTTTGCAAATATCTCTTAAATCCTGTATAGAAATAAGGCCCGATAACTACAGCTAGTTATAGAAATCATTGAATACGGTTTAATTTGTGTTTTGCTAAATAGTTAAAGAAATTTTTTTTTCTTGGGTAGGTAAAAAATGTGTAATACTTCCTAATCAAATAGAAAAATCATATGTTTAATAATTAAGCTATGGAGTTAATTATTTTATATTCAGCAGTGTTGAATGAAAAATATAACACTGGTTAAACATATCACATGAAAAAAAAAATCTACTGTGCATTTTTGTATTTACATTATATGATCTTGACATACGTTGTTGCAGATATTTAAAAATGAACTACAACAAGCAACCATTCCTCTGTTCAAAGGGTTGACAACCCAGGAGCAACTTTATGTTTCATATATTTAAAGTAAATTATATTCTATGTTTACATCCTGAAAAGGAGCCTGTTGTACAGAAAAATGGAAGCAGGAGGGTAAAAAATGAGCAGTGGGTTAAGAAGCAGTGGTGGAGGAAATTACTTGTTTAGCAGTCAAGTTTTTTTGCTTCAGTAAGATTAGGGTCTTCTTTTTCTCTGATAGAATGACTGTAGGATAGCTTTTATGAAAATTGATCAGTTTTCTTTGGAGGAACATGACCTGCCAAGGAGCAAAATCTTTTATCTCCAAATACAAATTAAGGTGCCCTTCTTTCGTTTTGATAGTTCGAGAGTGGACCCCTAGTAGAAAATATAGTTTCATAGTTACATAGGCTAGAAAAGAGACATGTGTCCATTAAGTTCAGCCTTCCTCACGTTTGTTTTTTGCTCTTGATCCAAAATACGGCAAAAACACCCACTTTGAAGCACTACCAATTTTGCAACAAACTAGAATAAAAATCCCCTCTTGACCCCAGAACGGCAGTCAGATTTACCTTTCCTTTGCCTTAGACAAAATCTTCTTTCTTCCAGTCTAAACGCATGACCTTGTGTCCTATGTAAAGTCTGGTTTGTGGATAGCTTTCCACACAATGCTTGTATTGGCCCCTGATAAATTTGTATAATGCTATCATATCCCCTCTGAGGCAACGTTTTGCTAAACTAAAGAGGTTTTCATAGCTAAAGCGTTCCATTCCTTTTATTAATCTTGCAGCCTGCCTTTGCACTTTTTCTAGTGCCATAATACCCTTCTTTAGAGCAAGTGTCCAAAATTTCACAGCATATTCAAGATGTGGTCTTACCAGTGCTTTATAAAGAGGCAAAATGATATTCTCATTCTGAGAATGAATGTCCTGTTTCATGCATGACAATACCCTACTGGCCTTAGCCACTGCTGATTGACATTGCACATTGTTGCACAGTTTGTTGTCTATAACTATTCCCAAGTCCTCCTCGTGTGTTGTTATCCCTAATTCACTTCCATTAAAGGTATACGTTGCTTGTGTACTCTTTATGCCAAAATGTATAACTTTGCATTTTTCTACATTAAATTTTATCTGCCATTTGAGTGCCCAGGCTCCCAGCCTATTTAGTCAGCCTCCTTTCGTGGGGAGATGATCTAAGAAGAAACATGGTCTTTAGTTTCCTCCTGAGACCACGGAGGTGTTTCATTGCAATGATAAATTTATAGATGTACACTTGTGCAGATAATCAACTTGCTCTTTTAGGGGAGTGAGTTGCCTAGCAGTCAATTCTTGAGTAGCTAAAAGAAGGGTGATTTGTTATTCCACGCAACAAATTAATGTGTTCTTGGGTGAGTATGTGTCTAGGAGTCAGGTCTCTTGTTTCTATCCTAAAGTGGGTTGATCATCCAATGCTCTGATAGATCAAGGGAAGGACATTGTCCGCCAATATCTAAGATTAATATTTTGGAATGATTTTTTGGTTTTCCGACAAATCCAGGGAGGTATGCAAAGTAAAGAGGATGATGTCAATTGCATGCTGTCAGTGCAGGTGTTAATAGGTTGGTGTCCCTGGGGGATAATGGTATAGGAGGTTGTAGAATTACATTTATTTTTCCATCGCACCTATAAAGCTGTCCATGATTTGAAAAAAACAGTCTTTGCAAATGTAGATATGTTGTGGTATGCTATTTTACAACACAGCTGGCAACTAAGAGTGTAGAAAATACATCCCAGTGTTCAACATGAAAGCTATAGATATAAACATGGCATTAAATGTTGGCAATATAAGTAATCGGAATGAAAACATTGAGAACCTTAAAAAAATAAATACTGACAAAAAGTCTTCAGTGAGATTAGAGATATGTCAGGCATATCCCAATTACTTGTTAGAAAGCTTACACATTTTGTAATTGTGAATATGTTGACACAATGAATGATGCATTTATTTGCCACGTTAGTTGATTTTGGCAAAGTTAAAGTTTCAGTGACTAACCTTACAATAGAGACATACATTTTCAAGTCTAAGTTAATATTGGTTTTAGGTTAAAATTGATATTCAAACAAATTACTGTGTTAAATGTTCATATTATTGCAACTCAGGAGAAATGCATTAAAAAGTCCTATAGAATTCATCATTTCAACACGATTTTAGCAAGCTTCAAGCTAAAAATGATCATGTTTGACAAGGGGTATTGAACGGGTGGCCATTTGCTAAATGTAGGCCAAAAATGCTGAGTCTGCCATTTCTTGTATGCGTGGTCAGCTCTGTATAGCTCACTGTTGTTCAAAAAACAAACTCCTTTCTTAGATGCACTTGATTTTCAACAAGCGGCACAGATGCTAGGGACATGAATACCATTCAGGTTAACAGGTGATAAAGTCATTGCTCTTAATATTTCCTTTTGATTCTATTTTTCACTTATAGTGTAAGCACAATAACAACTTCACCTTTTTGAAATTGTTATAGTGCCATAAGCATGTTCCCCTTGTCCAGTTTCCCATTGTTGTTCTTTTGAAAGTGTGGATTCTAGCACTCAAGTCATCTGTATCAGAGAGCCGGGAATCATAGCTCTCATACCCAAATGCACCCCGATGTCAGCACTCATGCCATGCTGATGTTATTTTATTTCAGCCTGTCTTTTTTGAGAATGTGTCCGTTAGAAATGCTTTGCACACACTGGCCCAACAAGCACAGCTATAGAGATCCTCTCTGGACAGCCAGATTTTACAGCTGCATGATTTGAGCTACCTGTGGTATTCACTTCAACCTGTAGGCACATTTTTGAGAATGAATTTATGTGCAAACTACATTCAAATAGTTCGACATATGATAGCAGTGAGCTGATCTGTAAATCAGCTTGTAGCCCAAGAATGTCCATATTGCGTGCATGCGTGATGTAACATTCTTGGTTTCTCATAGGGGATCATTGTAATTACTATGAGAAGCTTTTGATTAGTGAAATGCAGTGAGTGCCACGCATGCACCTACGGTCCACAATTCTTCTCTATGAGAAGCATTGGATTGGACCATAGTCATCAGACACAATGATGCAAAAGTGGGTGGTGCAGACTGCCACGAGGAGAGTGCTGACCGCACTTGAGTAAAGGTATGTAAAAGTTTAAATTTACAAAGTTATATTATTTCAGGGTGATTATACTACTATTAATTGGTTATCTTAATACTAGTGAAATTATTAAAAATACATATCTAACTACAGTACAGTCTTCCTTTAAAACATTCCACAACACTTTGCAATTATACAGTGGGGATATATGATGGCACACAGCTCAAAGATGAAATGAAAGATGAAATGTTGACAGCTACAAGATGGCGTGCTCAATTGGGCTTACAATCAATATATTTGAATACAAGAGGAAGGAGCAGAGATGAAAGCAGGGGTTTTGTGTGAATTAATGAAAGGACTGTAAAGAGACATGTTACAAAGGAAGATGATATTTTCCAAATAAGATTGAGGTGGGCATTCCATGGGAATGGTGGGGCCCTTGAGAAATTCTGTAGATAAGAATGCGAGAATGAATGGAGGACAAGAAAATGCCACTATCATAACACAGTGAATGAGACGGGATGTATTTATTATTTAAACAGGACACACATAGACGGTGGATTAAAAATGATCTACCCTTCTGACGATACTTAATATTTACTTTCTACCAATACTCTTTGAATACAAATATTCTTCCATCATATTTTTTGATGCTATAATAAGAATTGTTATTAACCCACTCCATTACAGTACTGATAGTTAACCTTAGATGTTAGTGAACTGTATTTCTCAAACAATTATCAAAATCTCCATTATATCTCCACAAATTGACTTTAGATAAATAAATATCCATGAGGTAAAAAATATATGAATGATAAAAAGTGATCATGTTATTTTTTCACAATAATGCAAGATAAATCAGATCGTATATATATATATGTGTATATGTAGTTAATTCTTGTTCCAGAATAATTATATTGCTGTCTATCAATCTATTAAGTGCATATCAGTCATGTTATCAATATCATTATTTTCAACTCTCTTGTTTACTATTTCTTTCAATCATATGTTCTTCTCCCCCCTTAGACTGGGATTCCTTTGAACAAGAATATGAAGATGTAGATGTAGAAAACCTTCAGTATGGTAAGAACATTGCATTTGAATAAAATATTGCTAAAATGTTCTATCTATCCATCTATCTATCTATTTATCTATCTATCTATCTGTCTGTCTGTCTGTCTATTATTCAAGCTATCTGTAAAAAAAAAAAATGTCCGTCTGTTGTCTATGAATTTCATTACATGCACACAAATCCACACCTTTATCTATGTTGTTTGTACAAACCTATATCTCTCCAGCAGTTGCTAGAATACAATCCCATCCAATAATACTTGTTTTACCAACTATTTTCTATGGTTTTTCGTGGCATTAAAATTTTCTTATGGCAACATTGTTATGCTCACAACACGGTTAAAGGGACACTCCAGCCACCCAGACCACTTCAGCTAATTGAAGTGCTCTGGCTGCTGTGCCCCTATTGCACTTAGTGTTGCAATGTAAAACCTAGCAGTTCCTGAGAATTGCTATGTTTACATTGCAGCTCTAAGTCTGCCCTCTGTGGCTGTCTTTCAGACAGCCACTAGAGGGCTTCCAGAATCCAAATCGACCTTTGGTCTGTTATCTGATGCTGGACATCCTCACGGTCCTCCAGCGTCAGATTTTCCCCATAGGAAAGCATTGAATAATGCTTTCCTATGGAAAGGTCTAATGCGCGTGTGCGGCCATTGCTGCGCATGCGCATTAGGTTCCTCCCGCCGGCTCTCATCCGCAGGGGAGGAGCATGGACAGAGCCTGACCCAGTGCCGAGGGACATCGGCGCTGGATTTAGGTAAGTAGCTGAAGGGGTTTTAACCCCTTCAGTGACATGGGATGGAGAATGGGAAGGAGGGGGGCGCTGTAGGATCCTGCAGTGCCAGGAAAACTGGTTTGTTTTCCCGACACTGGAGAGTCCCTTAAAATGTTAATAAAATATCCAACCTTCCAGCATCCCGTATTGCATACATTGCAGTTTAGAATATCCATTAAATACTCCTTCATTGACTCATTAAAAAGTGAAATATGACTCCCCACATGCTGTTCAAATCAGATTGTTCATTTTTTGTTTTTATTTTCTCATAATCTTGTAGATCATCTTTTGTAGCATAAAATCAGCTGCACTATTCAAGCATTCATTACTCATTTTAATACTCTGATTTTACTACAGCTGACGAGCAACAATCAACGGATGATGAGGAAGATGGAGAAACCAATGAACCTTCTGGTAATGAGACCAAACAGAGTGATTAACAAGATCTAAAATTTCATTTGGAAGTACATTTTTTGTGTCTGTTACACTCGTAGACTCATTAAATACTATGAGTCTACTTTTAAATCAGCAATAATAAAACAAATAATGAAATATATTCCATATATCATGGTTACAAGACTGCTCATGCCTAAAAAAAATATTATCTTTATATTTCTTTCTTTTATTCATAGGAGGACATTATGGGGTAAACTTTATTTCTCCATCACTTTCTCCTGTTTTTGTGGGTGAGTAACCTGCCTTGTATAAAGAATGGTTAAATGGTTAGGAGGTTTGAGCTCAATTGCCTTGTAACTAACCAGGCTGCAACAATAATGATCTTGTTAAAGTTCCAAAAATTCAATTTTAAAAGCAGAGTAGAAGATGCCAGCAACAGAATGAGTATTTTTTTTACCGGGCTTTGGTTTTTCTGTGTGCTGACTTAATCACTTCATCCATGGTTTTATAGAGAACTACAGATATTTTCATTCTTCAAAATATGTTCTCAATAATTGTTTTGTTGCTTATGAAATCATGTGTGATGTACAATATTTTAATGATCAAATGTCATAGTGCCTTTATTCCGATATGACGTTTGAACATTAATAGACAATGGCAGATAGAAGTTTATTTATAACAGTGGCTTAAGGACATTCATGAAATAATGATAATTACTTTTTTACTCTTTCGAATACAAAGGTTAAATTCACCAGGAAGACAAATCAGTTAAATCTGTTATAGCATCTTTCACAATTAGGACTGTGGTCCCATTTGGGAATACATGTAGTGTCCTTGGGAAGTTTGTAACAGGGTCTGACCGGAGCCTGTTATTTGTGACAGATGTGACAACTCAAACTGTGTCAACATTGATTATATAGGACAACTAGTGTCCAGAGTTTTGTTTAGTATTTGGAGGGTATTGTAATATTTGTCATAAAATTATGTTACAAGAGAAGTCATAATTGACCATATTTTCTTCACACCAATAGCCCAAAACCCTTCACATAATCCAAGGATTTGCAGCACCTTTGGATATTATCATTTCAAAACCTTTGATGGAGACATCTTTCATTATAATGGGCACTGCAATTATGTTTTTGCTTCACACTGCAAGACCAACTATGAAGACTTTAACATCCAGATTAGACGTGTTGTTACGAAAAATGTCCCGGTAATCCTAACAATTAAAATAAGAATTGAAGGAGTTGATGTTGAAATAACAAAAAAGCATTTAAAAGTCAATGGAGTGGAGTGAGTATTTACTTTTTATTTTAATATGTATTTCTGCCAACACCTGACAAGTTCTGCTAAATGGTTCTATGAAATACTTGAATGTCAGAAATATTCTTCATCTTTAAATCATCATCATGCTCAGAATACTATTGAATTAATTTTTAAATATCGTTTTTTTATTTTTTATTCACAATATATTTTAATGGATATCTAAGCATATTTAAAAAGTTTAGATATTTGCAAAGAGTGACAAGAAAAATAAACAACTCTATATCCACTACGAGTTGAACATAAAATAAATTAAATTAAATTGAAGAAAGGCTTCCAATATTAATGTACTTATTGCTTTCTTTCTTTCTTTCTTTCTTTTTTTTTTTCCTTTCTTTCCAGGCTAGATACAATGTCGCATAGTTTTGGAGCAGTTCAGATTTCAAAGACTGGCACATATATAAGAACTACTGTCAAAGCTAGTTTTGAGTTGGTGTGGAATGAAGAAGATTCTCTTACGGTTAGTACAAGTAAATAAAAAAATACAAAATCTGGATAAATATCACATCTTCAAGATAACTGAGATTTAACAAAGAATGTGGTGGAAGATATTGAGTAAATGATGAATTAACAAGGGAATTAAACATTTTAGTCCAAACTGATTGAACTAGATTTTTTTCTATATAGGTCATTTTTTTCTGCTTAATTTGTTGATATAAAATTTGCAATTTACTTCAATCTATAACTAGTAATATACATATAAAAGATATAAAGTGAGTGCTCTACTCCAGACGGTAAACCAGTGCATTGTTAACATGCACTATCAGAAACAGGGTGCTACAAAATGGGGAATTAAATATAGTTACCTTATCAAGATAACATACTACAATATAAAAGACTCACAGCACACCAATTCATGCAAAAATATTTACTGAAAAATACAATATATCATACATAGTCAATATACAACCTGAAGTGCAAAGTACACCCAGAATACACACCTAATACCATATTAATAAAGACACCAAGGTTACCTTTAGGTATATGACCAACTCTACTGACCTATGGCTGGAGACCAAAATTCCCCAATGTTTTGGCTACTGCATTTGACAAAGGAGTCTCTAGGTCAGTATAGTTGGTCATATACCTGAAGTGCACTTGGTATTAATATGGTATGAGGTGTATATACTGGGTATACTTTTGCACTGTACATCCACTTTGCACTTTATGTTGTATATATCATATATTATACTTTTATATTGTAATCTATAACTAGTCATGGGCAGGGTTACCATTAGAACTCTTTAGGCTTCTTACAACCTCAATGAATGACACACACCCTGACACACAGGTACTCACTCTTAATCACAAATATACTACACTCACAGGGACACTAATGGATACATACATACTCACAGACACAAAGACAATGATACACATAACCAGACAGATAAACTACACAAACACAATGCTCAGTGCCAAACCCTCCCCACACACCCATAGACTTTGTCACACCAACACTGCCAGACACATACACACAATCACAATCAGACTGTAAGACACATGCACACTATAACATTTATGGTTTAAGCCACTGTCTAGGTTAACCTACCTCTTGCAGCAAGAGGGTGGTTTCCTGGGTGTCCAGATGGTATCCTGCTGCAAATGTCAATGATCTAATTTTTCCCTCCTGTGCGGCTTCTTTACATGCTGTTAATAGTGATAAGTTATCACTTCCTCCAAGCACTACCCTACAAGAAGATAAACGTGGCAGTTACCAAACTCTGGTAAGGGGTCCACACTTAAGTTCCACAATGTGCTCTGGTTATGGGAGTTAGTTCTATTAGTTGCAGGCAAGTCTCAGGGCTCGGTCAGGACCCTTAACAAGGTACCCTGGTCATAAAAATACACTCTCAAGGGCAGGATAAGAGAGATTCAGCAGCTTACCTTATTCTCAATGCTTTCCTATGGATGCTCTGCGCGATGGAGGCATAATATGCCTCCAGCATCGCAGATGCGCTTCTGGTAGCTGTCTGGAAGACAGCCACTAGATACTAGATTAACCCCAAATGTAGACATAGTTTCTCTGAAACTGCTATGTTTACATTTGAAGGGTTAAAACCTGAGGGACCTGGCACCCAGACCACTTCATTGAGCTGAAGTGGCCTGGGTGACTATAGTGTCCCTTTAATACTGACGCTTCTACTTGTTAAATGCCATCACCATGCACACAGCTATGCTGGACATGAGACTTAGAACATGGACTGGGACAATGATATTCCTGAATGCTTGCTGAAAAACCCCAGAATGTTAATATTATAAAATACATTTGTGATTGCCAAGACTATTTACAAGCTAACTCATTGGTTCATAGTTTGTTTTTTCACATTAAATATATGTATTTTATTAGTTTCTACATAGTCACTCATTTTCACACTTGTTGATGAAATTTCCTTTCTCTAGTTGGAACTGAGCCCAAAATATGCCAATCAGACATGTGGACTTTGTGGAGATTATAATGGAATGCCAATATACAACGAGTTTATTGAAAATGGTAAGGAAAGATCAAATGCGTGTAATAAATTAACATGTACGTCAATATTACCCTAATATATAAAACCATCGATTTATTCCTTACAGGTATCACAATATTTATAAAAAACAATAATTTATCTTTTATAGATGTCGTATTGAATGAACACCAATATGCTAGTTTGCATAAGTACGATGGACCAGAAGAAAGATGTGACGATACAAGAGATGAAAAATCAGATGACAACTGTACCATCAACGTAAGTTCTGATAGACACAAAATAAGTCAGACTGTTCCACTCCAACCCACCACCTTTAACACATAATTGTTGCCATTCTGCTACTACGTCATGTCCAACTAAATGTTTTTTAAGCCTTAATGATGTCATTTTGCTCTGTGGACCATTGATGTTTCTGTATGCTGTAGGTTTGTACATGGTTAGTAATTCCTCCAGACTTTATGTTTTATAATTTGGTCTCAAACATTGTGTTTTAATGATGTATAGTTTGCTTTTAAAGGGATGCCCCTATGCACTTTAGCTTGCTGAAACACTTGATATGCAAAGAATGTTTCCTTTTTTTTTTTTTATTGAAATATAAATTAACCTTGTTACACCCCTTGTCTTTCAATCAGACAACAGGTCAAGCTACTTTTTTTTTTTTAATACAAATCTAAATATAATCTCTTTAACAGACAAGTTTATGCAAAATGGTTCTGACTGGCTCAGCTTTCCACCAATGTAACAGACTAGTGGATCCTACAAGATACATTGAGCTTTGCGAGAAAGATGCTTGCAGATGTAAAGGCAACTCGACTGGATTCTGCCTTTGCAATATTTTCACTGAGTACTCCCGGCAATGTGCTCATGCTGGAGGAAAGCCAAAGAACTGGAGAACAGCTAAGCTATGCCGTGAGTCTCCCTTTTTACCTTGAGATCAATTGGCAGGTTGTTGGTAAATATAACATATGTAAAATCATTTATTCAAGCAATATATGCATACCATTTTAAAATGTCAATTTTTTCAGTAATTGAAGGGTTATATGATTTTAATGTAAATTGATGTAGGATTTTTTGTAATCAAGGAATATTCAAATTTTTTACTGCCATTCCATTTATCTGGCAGTTTCAAATTACCATTTTGTTTGGACAAAATGAATAAAGAATGTTGCACCAATATGAGTTTTTGGAAATTGCAGTCTTAAGAGGAGGTGACATATTTTTTAAATTACAGCCTTGAAATGTGCTTTCAATCTGGAGTTCCGTGAATGTGGCAGTGCATGCCAAGACACCTGTACTAATCCAGAACGCTCATTAGTATGTGATGAACACTGTACAGATGGATGCTTCTGTCCAGCAGGTAACTATTTTTGCATAATCTTTATTAATACGTTTGTATAAATTAGAATAGATAGACTCCACAAAACAGAGACCAGATAGAATCAACCACACATGCATCATGTTTTGACTGGTTAGATTGAATTTAAGTCTAGGCCTGTCATCCTTCCACTAATAAAGCAATAGAGCAAAATTCAGAGAGAATAAGAAGGCTTGGGTCAATTAAATAGGGATCATCTGAAAAAGATACAGGAGCCTGTGTTATATGGCCAACAGGAACATTTGGAAACTGTTCTAAAATTGTTAAACACTAGGATTCCACGCACTATAACCGAGATGAACTGGTTATAGTACCCATGGTGTATCTTTAAGGTGAAGATTGCTCAATTCGCCATACTTTCAAAACCACTCCAGAATATTATGTTACACATGGTTCAACTGAAAAGCCCTCAAAGCCTGTTTTTGCCTGATGGCTAAAAGAAACAGTTCTAAGGTGATTACAGAATTCTTTGTAAGTCACTCTGCAAGCTATACACCTGAAATTTCTTATGGTGTGTGCAAATAGATATTTGGCAGACTCTGACCATGCATTTGTAAACCCCGGTCAGCAGTTGTCTGTAAAATATTGGGTGAGAGACAATTTAATCTAAGTATTCTACATTTTCATATTTCTATATATTTTAATTTAATGAAATGCATCATTCCTTAAATATTTTATTTTTGTTCTTGTAAGGCATGGTTTTTGATGACATCAACAAATCTGGATGTGTACCTAAAGAGAAGTGTCCTTGCACATTCAATGGAGATGTCTATCCCATTGGAACAGGATATTCCGAAACCTGTAAAGAATGGTAACTTTTATTTCTGCACTTTTATTGTTTTAAGAATTTTTAAAACTTGATTTTGTTATCTGGGAGTAATTTAGTCAAATTGCTACTGTTTGCACAAACAAATAAAAGGCAACTTACGTTTTAAGTTGCCACCATTTGACACATGTACTGGCTGCATTATCTACATTGCATGCTCTTTATTTACTTAATTAAATTATGGTTGATTCAAATAGTATGTTTTATGTATCCTTTTACATCAGACCATGAATTGAGGTGGTTCTAGTTTAAGTGTTTTCTATACTTCTATTAAGTTTTTGCTATTTCAATTTTGATAATTGTGCATATTTAAAAATAACAAAAAAGTACAACAGTATGCCAACGCTATTGTTCTGAATTTATTGGTGTTTTTTTCTATCAGCACATGTGTTGGAGGGAAGTGGAGCTGTGACAAAAAGCCCTGCACAGGTATCTGCTCTCTTGAAGGAGGTTCACACGTCACCACCTTTGACCTTTCCCGTTACAAATTCCACGGAGACTGTAATTATGTGTTGGCAAAGGTACGCACCATATAATTTTTTTGTGTATAACATCAGGGGCTTCCCAGCTAACACACTATAACAACAAAAAAAAATGCCAGGATCCACAAAACAGTGGAACGGGTGCCACAAGTAGATATTTTTTAAATTGCATTTTTTTAAAAACAAACTAAAATTTATATATATTTTTTAATCAAACACAGACATGTGATAACCTCCTCTTCACTATATTGGCTGAAATTCGCACATGTGGAAACACTGACACTGAAACATGCTTGAAGAGCATCTCTCTCAGCCTCAATGGAGGAAAAGATGTATGTATTTCCAAAAAAAAATCAACATTGTTAATAACAGCAATCAACTTAATAATAATTTTTTTTTAAAAAACTATTTTCTGCATTTTATCTTTGATTTGTTGAAGTTTCTATATTTCTGTTATGTTCTAACCATTGATTATATTCTCTCTCACCAGTTCATCTTGGTGAAACATTGTGGCAGTGTTTACGTCAACTCACTGTACACACCGTTACCAATGACATCTTGTAAGTCAAAAGTTTATATAAGCTTAATTCGTTGTAAAAGTATCCAGTTGATTGGAACATAAGTTTATCTAACTATGTAATCAATATGTTTGTTTATGTATTTAATTTTCATAATAGTTTATTGTAAAAGTGAAACAGGAAAGAGTCAATGTGCACATGAAAACATTTGTGAAAGCCTTGGTTTGTTAAAGAAAAAAAAATATTGATGTTAACAACAGAGAGATAGCAGATGGACAGGGTATAAAAGTTGGTGCAAAGGTTGGTAGTGGCTTAGTGCTGTACATGGGGTGTCTACCACAACCCTCATTTTTTTTATTCCACAATTCTTAGACTTGATAGAGTCTGTTACAGGCAAACACACAAAAAAAGAAAATTGATTCCTTACAAGAAGTGAAATGGGTGGCATTTTTGGAAATGTATTGGACGATTGTATCAGGTTTTGAAGAACTCTTCAGTGGTTTCATGCAGCTTGGCTATCACATGTTCCCTAGAATGAATATACCATATTTTTTTTAGACATATAAAATTAATATTCCAATTTCTGTTCCAGATATATGGTTTTGAAAGGTTTACACAGAATTTATATTTTTGAAGCACCAATAAACTACTTCAATTGTAGGATCAATACATATTTAAATATATGTACTTCTTATATATTTTTGTTAACTTATACATATATAAATATATGTACTATATATATATATATATATATATATATATATATATATATATATATGTTAACTTGCTTGATGGCTAATGTATTAGTCCTAAAATCTCATTCTAGTTGTGATGCTGCACTGGAGAACTAGGAAGTCTGAGTTGAACTTCGATAGACCAAATCTTTATAAATCTCTTATTTTGTACCATGTTATAAAATGTCTTATGTATCTTTTTGATATGCAACTCTCTTTCTTATCGTTACAGCCAGTTTCACCATCTTCAAACCAACATCCTTTTTTATCATCATGGAAGCCACAATAGGCATACAGATGCATATCCAATTGAAACCCACCATGCAGGTCCACATTGTAAGCGATCAAAGGCATATGAATGGAACCTGCGGTGAGTTGCTCTCTTGTTACAGTTATATGTGAAATCAAAATAGGAAGTATAAATAGAATTCTAAATTGCTCATCCAAATACTTGCTAACATTTAGTTTTTTATTTTCCCAAGGTCATTATGTAAAACTGCCTATAGTGCCACCCTATCTTGGCATACAAATAATATTCATTTATAAATGTAACATGTGCCAATACTATTCCTCAGGTCTCTGTGGTAACTTCAACAACATCCAATCTGATGACTTTAAATCACCCAGTGGATTGATTGAAGGGACTGGGGCATCATTTGGCAACCAGTGGAAAACACAAGTAGATTGTCCCAGTGTCAAAAACAGCAAAGAGAATCCTTGTTCTCTCAGCTCTGAATCAGGTGAGTATTTAAAAGTTATTCAATTAATGGAATTATACATAAACAAATGTGGAATTCTCAACTTATTTAATTGAAACAGGTTCTGCAGAGGTGTAATAGATAAAAACATAACATGGAAGACATAATATTGACTTCTTATTTCGCATATTTTGTTGTCATTAAGTTTGGTAAAATTACCTTTGTTCTCTCTTTTTTTTTTTAACAATATGTATACGCAAACTAACATTAATCTAACGCTTATTTTTTAGAAACTTATGCCAAACACTGGTGCTCGTTCCTAACAGACAGCAATGGACCATTCTCTCAATGTCACAAAACCATTGATCCAGAAGACTATTATAAGGTAAAATAAAAATAATGTGATGCTAACCTCAGCTACATTCTCTTTGTTGAGGAAATTTAAAAAAAGATAATAATGGACAAGTAATATATAATATATAATGATACATAATAATTGTAATATTTTTTTTTGTGCCTGAGAAATCAGTCTTTCTGGGTATGAAAATATTTCTAAAATAATAAGTAATTAAATACAAACAATTAGTAGAAATAATTTGCAGAAGTGCGCGTTCTGGGAATTTAAACCAGGCATAGCCAATAAGTATCCATTCAACTGGTGCCATGCTGCAAATTTTGGGAGGCTAAGCTTTGCAGTACCCTTTTAATGTGTGGAAGCAGTGTTGTTTTGCCAGAGTCATAGCATTAGCTAAAAGCTCACAAATGTCAGGAATTCAGGGGATAGAATCCCTAATTACAGTGTAGGACAATGATAGAAAGAAGCATTACCAGGCCATAAACCAGAGAGCACCTTAGGCAGACTGGCCAAGGTCAAAGACAAGAAGCAAATAGTGGGAATTTATGAACAAGCAGGGCCAGAAAAAGTAAATCCGCAAAGGAACACTAAAGAATCACACGCATTGAGAACCAGGCAAGGACCACAAACTGGCAGCACACTAATGGAGCACTGAAGTTTAAATAGGTCATTCTTGATACTGAGTATGAAGTCGCATGAGATGTGAGGATGCTTACCAGGAATGATGTGAATAAGCAACAATAAATGCTTGCTGAAGACATCGGACATATGGAGTTCCTGACAAACTATCTCAAACAGTTAGCCTTCTACACTAATTAGTAGATGATATTTTTCTTAACTTGCAATCAATATAAAAACATTTTTATTCTCCTTCAGAGATGCTTGTACGATACCTGTAACAGTGAAAAAAGTGAAGATGCCATGTGTGCAGTTATGTCGTCATATTTCTATGCCTGCTCTAGAAAAGAAGTCGATTTGAGGGGGTGGAGAACACATGTCTGCAGTAAGTTGATAAACATCTGCCATTACGTACATACCAATTGTTTTGGGTATTAGGAAATCTGCTGGCAATGTTATTTTCTGATTGTTAAAAAAGAGACTGCTCATATAAATGTGATGGAAGGCTTTATTAATGTGCTCATCTATTTAATCCCAAGGCTCATACACCCTGGACTGCCCAAAGACTCAAACATACTCTCCGCTTGTCAGTACATGTGAGCCCACCTGTCGCTCCCTCAGTGAGCCTGATGCCTTGTGTGCCATAAGCATGCCCATTATTGATGGATGCCGTTGTGAGGATGGAACCTATAAGGATGATAGTGACAAATGTGTGCTTCCAGCTTTTTGTTCCTGTTATTACAAGGGGACACCAGTGTCACCAGGAGAAGTTTTCCATGAAAATGGGGTAAAATGGTAAGTTATTATTAAGTGATAAAGAACAGATTTTGACATATTTCTTGATTTACTATGATCACTGCTTCTACTCACAACTGCATTTTTGAACTTCAAATCACTGTACAACGCTAAAACTTTGTTGTTTTCCAATATTGCAGCACCTGCAAGAATGGAAAACTGGAATGTATTGGACAAGATACTAAAGAAATAGGTATATATTTATGGGGGACAGTTTAAAATGGCACATTTTTTGTCATACTTTACATTAAAGCTCTTCAATCCACTGCCATCAAATAAAGAAATAAATCAAGCCTAGTAGGCAGCTATTTTGATCATTGTTTTTCTAACAATTACATTTATCAAGTTGTTTCCTTACCTCAAATATTATATATTTTTAAATGTTTTGATATCTTAATCTTCTTTTCTTTTGCAGTTCTCTTGTCTTATATTATTTTGTTTTGTCTGTTTTACATAGTGTGTACGAGCCCAATGGTCTATTTTGACTGTGACAAAGCCCCAGCAGACACCAAGGGATCTGAATGTCTAAAAAGTTGTTCGACATTTGACACAGAATGTGTACGTATTTTTATGAGCACAATAAGTTGAAGAGTTGTTTTTTGAATTTAGAGGGACACTATGGTCACAAAACAACCTGAGAGTGCATAGGCATGATCTATTCACTAGAACTGCTTTATTGAGCAGTTTGTAAGTTGTTTTTGTGAGTAATGTGTCCATTTAATATTTTAACACAAAAAATATATACTTTTTATTGGCTATAACCTCTGAAATGTGCTAACTCAAAGTAAAAAAAACCTATCTGTGACACCCTAAGATCAAACATTAAAGGACATATGTATTAAAATTTGTTTTAATCAATAACAATATGCAATTCATTTTGTATAAGTACAATATGAATTGTCTACTAAGTAGATATTCTAAATTGTATTCATACTTTTTGTTTGTTTGTGATTCTCTATTGACACTGTTACTAACTAAAAGTCTGCCAATATATATTACAGTACAGCACACAGTGTGTTTCTGGCTGTATGTGCCCTGACGGATTAGTGACTGATGATGATGGGCACTGCGTGCGTGAAGAAGATTGTCCTTGCATGTTAAATGATGATTTCTATGAACCAGGGGAAGAGGTTCAAGTAAAATGCAACACCTGGTGAGCCACTAAACTATCACATTTATTCAGGAGAAACATGTCTGAGAATAAAGATTGTGTGCAACTATTGTTATAGTGTGTTTCTTAAATTTCAAATTTACGTGAACATCAAATTAGCATTTTTTTTTTTAAAAAACATACATTTAATTAGAGGTGTTGTGAATTTTACACGATGCTCAGAGATAGTCTACTGACAGTTTCTTCCATAAATAATTTTGTGTTTTCTTCATGAAGCACTTGCAAAAATAGAAAGTGGGACTGCACAACCAACACGTGTCTGGCGACATGTGCTGTATATGGAGATGGGAACTACATTACTTTTGATAACAAGAGATACAATTTCAATGGACAATGCCAGTACTCCTTGGCTCAGGTACATTCTATTTCTTTCCTTTTACATCTCTGATGTGTGTGTGTGTACTTGTAGTCATTCTTGATATCTATAATCTTTAAAATATATTTTAAGTGCTTCATATTGGTGTTATTCTGATGTAGCTTGAAATCTGAGTAGGGACCCACCAAAAGGCCAGCTGCTTGAGCTGTCCAATCTCAGTACTCTCTTGCACATTGTTTGTTTTTTCTCTTCCCAAGTTTAATGGGTATGCCACACATGGACCCATTACTCATGGTGCCTAGAAGGGCATTGGCTAGAACTCACTGAAAAGGCCTAACAGGTCTAAAAAGATCATCTTGGGTTGCTGTATCATGCAGAGAGAGCTGGCATGCATTTCACCTTTTGGGTGGGATCCGTCTGGCATACAAATGGCTTTGAAATTGCACAATATGAGCTACAACTCACTTAAGATTTGAGTGGGCAAGCTACTTGAACTGTTGTCCCTTTTCAGTATTCTCTGGAACATTGTTTTTTTTTTTTACAGGGAATACTATCTTTAAAACAATGGTTGTAAATAATAATAATAATACTGTCAATGTCAAACTCCCCATACATACATATTGATTGACCAAGAATTAAACAAAAGAAAAAGAAAGTATTAAATGTAACCTAAACTATCTTATTTATTCCATACGCAGTAAGATTTTATGACTAAAATAATATATATAAATAATAACATAATAATAATAATAATAATAATAATAATAATAATAATAATAATAATAATAAAATGTTATGTTAATGTATGGTGACCTTTTTGAGATCTTGGGTTTTTAACTGTGTAGAAAAAAATAGCCTTGTCAAGGTAATGCACCTTTTAAATTTACTGTGTGCTATAAAATATGTAATTGATGGTATTTTTTTTTACATTAGTAATGATATTTGTTTGTGGAAAGTGCTTGCATAAATTAATTACATACTTGTAAAGTGCTTGTAAAAATCAATCTCCAGGATCATTGTTCTGAGGAGCCTGGTACATTCTACATCATCTCAGAGAACATTCCATGTGGCACGACAGGCACCACCTGCTCCAAATCTATCAAGCTCTTCCTAGGGGTGAGAAATTGCTGATTTGTTCATCTTAATATATATGTAAAATAAACTTATATGAAAAACCAATTCAACAGTCTTGTTCATTTCCACAGAAAAGATTTACCATAATATATAATTCTACCATGGTGCATTCAATTCATTTTAATTGGTAATAATGACATAACCCTTTACTCAATAAATGTATGACATTTTTTTCTCTTTTCCAGAACTATGAGTTGATTCTTGGTGACCAGAAATTTGATGTAGTGAAGAAAAATTATGGGCAATATGTGCCGTTCAAAGTTCGACAGATGGGCATCTACATGATAGTTGAGGCTTTAAATGGCTTGATTTTGGTGTGGGACAAGAAAACAACTATCTTTGTGAAACTCCACCCCAATTTTCAGGTATAGATCTATTGAAGAATATGTACCTCAAATGAGATCAAGTTAATCTTTGTTAAAGTGAACAATTATATCTTTCAAAAACGTGTTTCATAAATCATTCAAGCATTGATGTTTTCGTTTTACACTGATTAAAATGCTGTTGGAAATATTCTGTTTGCATAACTTGTTATGTATTGCATTACATAAAATATTCCAATGTTTCCTTTTAATCTTTTGATAGGGCAAGGTTTGTGGTCTTTGCGGTAATTACGATGGGAATGCTGTTAATGACTTTATCACCAGAAGTCGCTCTGAGGTTGGAGACGTTTTTGAATTTGGCAATAGCTGGAAATTGTCGCAAAGCTGCCCGAATGCTATTGAAGCAAAAGATCCTTGTTTGTCCAACCCATATAGGAAAGCATGGTCACAGAAGAAGTGTAGTATCATCACAGGTCCTGTCTTCCAGGCCTGTCATCCCAAGGTGAGAACTATATTTTGAAATTCTGGCCCTCTTGCTTTAGATTGCCACTTATTCCAATTATTCTATACGTTACTTGTGATGTAGTCTTTAAATTCTGCTATTTTCATAAATTAATTGTACAGAAAACACTAGCCAATCTGGTCTTTCCAGAATTTCAATGTACTCAATTCTCATATCACAAATTAGTGATATATAATTAATTGATTTTCTAACATTATGGTGCGCTCCAACGATTTTCCATTGTGTTACATTATCATGAGCTATGTGCATTTTTCTAATATTGAAGACAATAACATGGAGATTCCTGATCACGTAGGAATAAGAAATGACTGAAGCTGTTCTTCTCTACCCATAGATTGACCCAATGGAATATTATGAGTCTTGTGTTCATGATGCCTGTGCTTGTGACACTGGTGGAGACTGTGAATGTCTCTGTACAGCTGTAGCCTCATATGCTCAAGCTTGCAGTGAAGCTGGAATATGTGTGAACTGGAGAACTCCATCCATATGTCGTAAGTGTTAAATGACCAATATGTAAATGGTTGGTTTAGTTGTAGACTGCCATTTTCCAGTAGATACAAATTTTCCATTTTCATGCTATGTCTATCCCAGGTTATTAAATAACCAGTTATTGTCCACATGCTAGTTAAGAGTGTTTACAGAAATTTAGTTCTCCATTATGTGATAATTTTCAGGGCATTCTAGACTGCACTTTTGTACAAGATTTTGCAAACGTAGACTATTCCAATATTACACAGGACCTTTTACCATACCCATATAACACATGTCAAGTCTTTTAACCAACACCTTTATCTTTCTGAGGTTCCTACTAATTCCTACTAAATACAAACCCAACCTTTCCAATAGGTATTTTCACTACATAACATTAGGTGGTTTTACTGGTGTAAACTCATTAATTCGTGTCCACTTATCAACAGCTATATTCTGTGATTTCTACAATCTGAAAGGACATTGTGAGTGGCATTACCAAGCTTGTGGAGCTCCATGCATGAAGACATGCATGAATCCTACTGGGGTTTGCTTTAACAATCTGACTGGTTTAGAAGGTAAGAAAGACTCATGAACATTTTATGATTCACATTTGCCACAAATTATACACGATGAGTGAAATGCAAACTGTGATGTTCAGATGGTTTTATAGTTCATTATTGATTATTGTTGTGTTTAAATTAAGGATAACTATTTAATAGATAAAATAACTGAGTAAAGAATGAACATTTTATGCTTTTTTTCAAATGATTGGATTCCTGGATACCTTTTCAGGGTAACTTGTTTCTTGAGGGATGTTTCCCTAGCCCTCTCCCTGCAACAACTTTTCACCTTCTCCTTATACTCATAAATTTTCTTTCTTCTTTTCTGTCTTTTTAATTTACTTATCTCATAAATATGGAAGGTAGTTTACCTTTCCTTCTAATGTCAAAACTACAGAACAGTGGTCCAAGTTATAGTACCGTAATGTTTTGAGCCATCGCTTTTTGTTGCTCTAGGTCTACTGCTCCTAAATAAGGAGTGTAAAAAAAACCTTAATAAATCATGGATGATATGCTACAAATATGCAGTCAAAAATCAGAATATTATAGCTCCACATAGACATAATAAAAGCAATTTCATCAGACTCTCATTTGGTTGTGAATTACTATTACAAATAATTATTGACATACATTTTTTGTTGCCCCGGTGTATGCAAAAAAATGTGGCATGGCTGGTTTTAGTTTAATAACCTTTTTTTTTCTGCCATACCAGAGGATTTGTATGAAGAACAATGAGACAACGAAAAACCTAGTTTAATTTATGTTACACTGTTTACATTGTATTGTATTAATTGTTCTAACTTTATAAAATGTACAAATAGCAAGTGCACAAATTTCAGATTATTTTAATAATCTTTTTATTATTTTACTAATCTTCACTGATGCACTACGTTTATCAGTTTTACTGATCACCATTACCACATGGCTAGCATTTGGCTAACCACTCAGTGATGGCTAGTGTAATTTTACTGGCAAATAAAACTCGAACATGGTTACTTACTAAAGTGAGAATTCTAATTGAATTTGTTTATAATGCCCTTCAATCAACTCTAAAGCATAATCATTGATTCTGTTATTGATATGATCTTCAGAAATTCACATGCTTTCATATATCCTCAGGTTGTTACCCAAAATGTCCACCAGACAGTCCTTATTTTGATGAGGAGAGCATGCGTTGCATTTCATCGTGTCACTGTTATGATGAATATGGAGATGAATATAAACCAGGACAGAAAATGCCAAGTGTGGAAAGATGTTCAATCTGGTATGAATCCTAGAAATTGGCAGGCATGTGTGTGCATGCGTGCGTGAATGTGGCTCGATAGGAAGTAAAGATTATGACCTTATTTAGAAATATGTGCAAGCACTTCTTCATTTTATATAACCTTAACATCCACCCTGCAAAAATACATCCATAATTGTGGAGGGTAAGTTTAATATATAAAAAATATAATAGTAGACAGATGACCGGAATATGCTGTGATTAGATTACATTTTTTCAGGTTTAAAGCACATTTTGGTTTATGCGTGCCTTTCTCAAGTCTGTATGTGAGCTACAAGTATGCCTTAAACCTCTTAGAACAAATTCAGTTTTACCCCACCCTGTATGCCCAGTTGTCTTTCTATTACCTTTGTGGATGTTAGGGCGCTACGGAATTATGCAGCTTCATGCCATGCCAGAGAACCAAACATTCAAAATCTCAATTGAACAGTATTTTTATTGTGATGCACGTGTTTCAAACAAAGATGCTTAGTTGTGTGTAATTTAAACATGGAATTTGACAGCTAATGTATATAATAATCTCATTATGGCTTTCTGTATAGAATGCATACATAAAGCAATAGCCTGTTATTTTCTTTCCTATGCCTGTATACATATGTAGTACTAAGACTTAGATTTTAGAATTGTTTTCACATAATTAACTACTTATTAGCTATTTAATAACCATGTAATTTAGAGATGCTAATATCTCGACAGGGATGGACTGGGGATACGAAGCAGCCCTGGAAAAAAAATCTATGCCAGCCCCATAAGTCATTGTGCTATGTAGGGTGTATATATATATATATATATATATATATATATACATATATATTTATAGGCAATTGAAATAGTTGGCTGCACTCTTGGATTTCCTTAAAACGTAACTTTTATTGAAATATTTAAGAGAAGATCAACGTTTCAGTCTCTCTTGTGAACTTGCATCAGGATCATGATGAAAGTCCACAAGAGGGACTGAAACGTTGATCTTCTCTTAAATATTTCAATAAAAGTTACGTTTTAAGTCAATCTGAGAGTGCAGCCAACTATTTCAATTGCCTGGATACTGGAGCCCTGGTGATGCACCTGGTCACACAACTTTGAAGCCTGAGAGCAAGGTACAACAGCTTATATATATATATATATATATATATATATTTTATTGATACATATCTTCTTCTAACTCAAAAAATTAGTTCTTTCCGGGTAATTAAATTTTACAGTAAAGCATACTCACACACAGACAATCTTACTGATGCACACAAATAGGCTCATTGACAGACAATCTCAATGACACACACAGACAAGGTTAGTGGCACACACACAAATTTAGTACAGACAAACTCTGATACACACAAGCTTACTACAGACAAGCTCACTGTCACACACACACGCTCACTACAGACAAGCTCACTGATGCCCACACACTCTCCCTACAGACAAGCCCATTGACACACACATGCTCCCTACAGAAGAGCTCACTAACACACAGATTCACTACAGACAAGCTCACTGACACACACATGCTCACTACAGACAAGCTCACTGACACACATATGGTCACTACAGAGAAGCTCACGATCACACTCATGCTTACTACAGACAAGCTCACTGTACACACATGCTCACCACAGACAGGTTCCGACACACCCATGCTCCTCTCAGACAAGCTCACTAACACGCACACACATATATGATCCCTACAGACAAGCTCACTGACACACATACAAGCTCACTCACTAGAAGGCAAACACACACAAACTCACCAGCAGGCACACACACACAGAGGCTCCCCCACTAGCAGATGTGCGCACACACACACAGAAGCTCGCTCGCTTACTCACTAGCAGATGCACACACACAAAGACATCCACACACACAGAGGCAGACAGTCACTGACACTGAGGCAAACATCCACACATACAGAGACAGGCAGACAGCCACACACACACACACACACACACACACAGGCAGACAGTCACACACACACACACACACACACACAGGCAGACAGCCACATACACAGGCAGACAGCCACACACTCACACACACACACACACACACACACACAGGCAGACAGTCCACACCTCACACTCACAGGCAGACAGTCATATACACACATACAGCCACACACTTACTCACACACACACACGGGCAGACAGCCACACACACACACAGTCACACACACAGGCAGTCACACACACACACACATACAGGCAGACAGTCGCACACACAGCCAGACAGTCACACACAGACAGTCACACACACAGACACACAGGCAGACAGTCACACACTCACACACACACACAGGCAGACAGTCACACACTCACAGGCAGACAGTCTCACACATACACAGTCACACACACACACACACACACACACACAGACAGTCACACACACAGACAGTCACACACAGACAGTCACACACAGGCAGTCACACACACAGACAGTCACACACACGCAGACAGTCACACTAACCTGCTTCTTACCTCAACATCCCTTGGAGCTCCTGGAGACTGGTTGTTGGGGAAGCAGAGACTTCTTCCTGCTTCCCATGCTGCAGTTAGCAAGGCCCCCGCCGCACAGTAAGCTCCGCCCCCACCGCACACTAGGCTCCACCCCTGGCACATGCTAGCTCCGCCCCACCACAAACTGTTTTTTGTGCCGGCCGGCTAAGTCTCCCTGCTCCCATAGGTTCTTGTGCGGCCGCACAGCTCACACATAGCCGGCCGGGATTACAGGAGCCTGATCACTGATAAGGGCTGTCAGCCCAGCACCAGGTGCCGCGGCCCACCGGGAAATTTCCCGGTATCCCGGTGGGTCAGTCCGGCTCTGTATCTCAATACTAACTGAATGTAATAATTAATGTATGTGAAACATGAATCACAAAAGTACCCTTTTCATACGTAATCAAAATTCTAAACATACAAAAGGTCCATTAAAAATACTTTGCCATTCTCCATGACAAACGATATTGCTGCTTAATTATGGAAAGGAGTATTGTATATCATTTTACATGTCAAAACATATCATTTTAGATATAAACTTTTTCATGTTTTATTTCTTTCAGCCAGTGCACAAACAATGGCAAAGAATGTGATAAAGCAAGTGGTAAGAAAATACTGTAATATTTTAAATCAATTTGTTCAGTGTACCCTGAACAAAGTGTTGTTATTTTTTTATTTTTTTTTACAAATCGAAAAATGTAATGTATATACTACTGACTTTTTTTTACATTATGCATAAAATAAACATTTGCAGCAGATGTCTCATAAACAGCTGCCCTAAACATTACATTTATTAGTTTACATTTTAATAATTAGTTTAGCATTGCAATTATAATTAAGTTGGCCTCTCTCTTGTCATCTGCAGCCTGCTGCTACTATGAAAATAAGGAATTTTTGCCAGGTGATATAGTTTACTACACTGGAGATGGCATTGGAGGTTGTATGCATGCAGTCTGCACAGATAATTCAACTATAGAAAGAAGCATTGGACCATGTCCGACCACAGTGAGCCCCTCCACTGTATTCGACTTCGATACTTCTTCAACACCATCTGGTTCATCTACAGAACCTCCACACTCTATATCACCTGGTTTTTCAACTGGATACCCCAGTTCTCAAACACCAACTGACTCATCAGTGAGTCCTACAGACAATACTTCACCTGGATATTCCAGTATTGAAACAAATACTCCAACATCTTCAAAACCTAGCAGTTCATCCTCTTCCACCCTTGAATCTACAATAACTCCATCAGGTAAAATGTAGTTTTTTTCTTTTTTAATTTAAATTATTTTCATAGATTTATTCAATTCAATAGTGATAGGTAATTTGTAAAGAAAAAACACATTTTCAAACAGATTTTTAGTATATTACTAAAATATGAAAATAATTTGAAGATACAATAAATAATACAATATTTAATATTTCAGCAATCCCCACTGTCTGTGCCGAAGCTTATGATTGCAGTTGGTCTGAATGGTATGATGTGAGCAATCCTGATGATGGAAGTGGAGATTTTGAAACATTTGACAACATAAGAGCCAAGGGCCATGACGTTTGTAAAAATCCCAGAAACGTGAAATGCAGAGCAACACAATATCCTGATCAGGATATAGAAGATTTAGAAGAAGACATCACATGCAGCAAGAAAGATGGTCTTATATGTCTAAATAGCAAGAACTCACCTATATGCCATAATTTTGAAATTAAGATTGAATGTTGTAAATATAGACAGTGTACATCCACGGTGGAGCCGACAAGTTCTACAACACCTTCTCCTGGCATTGAAGTGACCACACCTTCACATCTTACCACTAAATCTTTTTCTCCATCCACATCTGGAACCTCATCTACTGAAGTGGGAACCAGGGAACCACAAACATCAACTTCTGAAACACCTGTCACTACAAAAGCAGTGCCAAGTAGTCCATCAACTGAGTCAACATCTGGAGTCACAAGTGCAATTTCACCAACTTGCGTTTTAAAGATGAAATGCCGATGGACTCCTTGGTATGATGATAATAAACCAAATGCAAAAAGTGATGGTGGAGAAGTTGAAAGTATTAATGATTTAAAAGCCAGAGGATATCAGATTTGCAGACAGCGAGAACTTGAAAACAAAGTAGAATGCGAAGCAATAGATAACATAGGCTTACCAGTTGCTAACAACGACCAAGTATTTAACTGTGATCTTGAAAATGGATTGGTTTGCATGAATAGAGATCAAAAGAAAAAAGAAAAATGTAACAATTACAGAATGAGAATTGAATGCTGTGAAGAATATTGTGAAGGAATAGAAACAACTGTTACATCTATTCCTTCCTCTACTAAATCAACACCTGCAGTTGGTGAAACTTCATCACAAGGGACAACAAAATCACCATCTCCGGGTTCAATAGCCCCAAGCACGTCATCTGAAATATATACCACCCCTTCTGTTGTGACTGAAAGTACATCTTCTCCATCAACTGCATCATCGGAAACAACTTGTGTACGTAAGATGGAATGTCGCTGGACTCCTTGGTATGATCTCAACACACCAAATAAGAAAAGTGATGGTGGGGATAGTGAAAGTATTGAGCAGATAAAAGAAAAAGGTCTTGTAGTTTGCACAAATGGAGAAAATGAAAACAAAATACAATGTGAAGCCATAGATAATAATGGTATAACAATTGCTGATAATCAACAAATAATGACTTGCGTCCTTAAAGGTGGATTGAATTGCAGAAACAGAGACCAAAAAAAGAAAGAGAAATGTTACAATTACAGGATAAGAGTTGAATGTTGTTCTGAGTATTGTGAAAAAGTAGAGGCACCTACTACATCTTCACCCTTGACTTCTGGATCAAAAACTACTGTAGGAACTATAGGAACTTCTGTGGGTCCAAGCACAACTCCTGCAGGTGTCGTTTCATCATCAGAAAAACCTGGAACCTCAACTTCATCATCTACACCTACAGAAAAGCCATCAACAGGTGCTGTAACTGAATCCAAACATACACCCACGGAAAATTGTGAGAAGTTTAGAGCATCAGAATGTCGTTGGACCGATTGGTTTAATGAACAACAACCTTCATCAGGAGCGAGTGGCGAAGATAATGAGAATTCATATAAGCTGAGGTCAAAAGGATTAGAGGTATGTAAGCAAGAGGAAATTGAAAACCACATTGAGTGCAGAGCTGAGCAATATCCTGATGTTGCTTACAAAGACATTAAACAAGTGTTCACATGTAATTTGAAGGAAGGATTAATCTGTCAGAATAAGGACCAAGCTGGTGATGATAAAATGTGCCGTGATTATGAGATAAGGTTTGAATGCTGTTCTAAAAAATTTGTTGAATCTTGTGGCAGCATAATTTCATCTTCAACTCCACCCTCATCTACCGAAGTGACTACGATTCCTACAACAACTGCAGTATCTCAAACGTCTTCATCTGGCGATGAAACTACTCCACCATACTCTTCAACTCCTGGAACATCAACTTCCAAAACTCCTGGAATTTCAACTGGTGTAACTTCAGAAACATCTTCAACTTCTGGTCCTGAAACATCTCCTTCAGGTGTCGTTTCATCATCAGAAAAACCTGGAACCTCCAACTCATCATCTACACCTACAGAAAAGCCATCAACAGGTGCTGTAACTGAATCCAAACATACACCCACGAAAATTGTGAGAAGTTTAGAGCATCAGAATGTCGTTGGACCGATTGGTTTAATGAACAACAACCTTCTTCAGGAGAGAGTGGCGAAGATAATGAGAATTCAGATAAGCTGAGGTCAAAAGGATTAGAGGTATGTAAGCAAGAGGAAATTGAAAACCAAATTGAGTGCAGAGCTGAGCAATATCCTGATGTTGCTTACAAAGACATTAAACAAGTGTTCACATGTAATTTGAAAGAAGGATTAATCTGTCAGAATAAGGACCAAGCTGGTGATGATAAAATGTGCCGTGATTATGAGATAAGGTTTGAATGCTGTTCTAAAAAATTTGTTGAATCTTGTGGCAGCATAATTTCATCTTCAACTCCACCCTCATCTACCGAAGTGACTACGATTCCTACAACAACTGCTGTATCTCAAACGTCTTCATCTGGCGATGAAACTACTCCACCATACTCTTCAACTCCTGGAACTTCAACTTCCAAAACTCCTGGAATTTCAACTGGTACAACTTCAGGTACTTCTGGCTCTGAAACATCTCCTTCAGGTAGTTACACTTCTCCCTCTGTCAATGAACCTTCTTCAACTGGGTATGAGACTTCAACTCCCAAACCTCCTGGTGAATCTTCACCTTCTGGTTCTGAAACACCTAGTTCTGAGAGTCCTATTACGTCTGCAACTTCTTCACCAGGGTCTAAAACTTCACCATCATCAACTTCATCTAGTGGACCATCAACAGAAACTGGTGTCACATCACCAAATATATACTCTACGGTAACTTGTATATATAAGATGGAATGTCGCTGGACCCCCTGGTATGACAACAATGCACCCTCAACAAAAAGTGATGGGGGAGACAATGAGAGTATTGAAGACATACAATCTGAGGGAGCTGATATATGTTCTAAAGGAGAAAAAGAAAACAAAATAGAGTGTGAAGCTTTTGATAAAAAAGGTTCAATCATTTATGATCATAAACAAGTAATGACCTGTGATATGGAAAGTGGACTTACTTGCAAGAACAGAGATCAGAAGAAAAAAGAAAAATGTTACAACTACAAAATAAGGTTTGAATGTTGTGCAGAGTATTGTGAGCCAGTGCAAACACCTAGCACATCCCCCTCTATAACAACTAAATCAACAACTTCAGTAGGTGAAACTTCACCATCAGAAAAACCTGGAACCTCAACTTCATCATCCACACCTACAGAAAAGCCATCAACAGGTGCTGTAACTGAATCCAAACATACACCCACGGAAAATTGTGAGAAGTTTAGAGCATCAGAATGTCGTTGGACCGATTGGTTTAATGAACAACAACCTTCTTCAGGAGTCAGTGGCGAAGATAATGAGAATTCAGATAAGTTGAGGTCAAATGGCTTGGAGGTATGTAAGCAACAGGAAATTGAAAACCAAATTGAGTGCAGAGCTGAGCAATATCCTGATGTTGCTTACAAAGACATTAAACAAGTGTTCACATGTAATTTGAAAGAAGGATTAATCTGTCAGAATAAGGACCAAGCTGGTGATGATAAAATGTGCCGTGATTATGAGATAAGGTTTGAATGCTGTTCTAAAAAATTTGTTGAATCTTGTGGCAGCATAATTTCATCTTCAACTCCACCCTCATCTACCGAAGTGACTATGATTCCTACAACAACTGCTGTATCTCAAATGTCTTCATCTGGCGATGAAACTACTCCACCATACTCTTCAACTCCTGGAACATCAACTTCCAAAACTCCTGGAATTTCAACTGGTGTAACTTCAGAAACATCTTCAACTTCTGGTCCTGAAACATCTCCTTCGGGTAGTGAGACTACTCCCTCTGTCAGCAAACCTTCTTCAACTGGCTCTGTAACTGAAACACCAGGCAAATCCCCAGGAACATCCCCTTCTCCTGGCCATGGAACATCTACTTCTGTAGGTCCCACCACAACTGCTGTAGGTAAAACTTCACCATCAGAAAAACCTGGAACCTCCACGTCATCATCTACACCTACAGAAAAGCCATCAACAGGTGCTGTAACTGAATCCAAACATACACCCACGGAAAATTGTGAGAAGTTTAGAGCATCAGAATGTCGTTGGACCGATTGGTTTAATGAACAACAACCTTCTTCAGGAGAGAGTGGCGAAGATAATGAGAATTCAGATAAGCTGAGGTCAAAAGGATTAGAGGTATGTAAGCAAGAGGAAATTGAAAACCAAATTGAGTGCAGAGCTGAGCAATATCCTGATGTTGCTTACAAAGACATTAAACAAGTGTTCACATGTAATTTGAAAGAAGGATTAATCTGTCAGAATAAGGACCAAGCTGGTGATGATAAAATGTGCCGTGATTATGAGATAAGGTTTGAATGCTGTTCTAAAAAATTTGTTGAATCTTGTGGCAGCATAATTTCATCTTCAACTCCACCCTCATCTACCGAAGTGACTACGATTCCTACAACAACTGCTGTATCTCAAACGTCTTCATCTGGCGATGAAACTACTCCACCATACTCTTCAACTCCTGGAACTTCAACTTCCAAAACTCCTGGAATTTCAAGTGGTACAACTTCAGAAACATCTTCAACTTCTGGTTATGAAACATCTCCTTCGGGTAGTGAGACTACTCCCTCTGTCAGCAAACCTTCTTCAACTGGCTCTGTAACTGAAACACCAGGCAAATCCCCAGGAACATCCCCTTCTCCTGGCCATGGAACATCTGCTTCTGTAGGTCCCACCACAACTGCTGTAGGTAAAACTTCACCATCAGAAAAACCTGGAACCTCCACGTCATCATCTACACCTACAGAAAAGCCATCAACAGGTGCTGTAACTGAATCCAAACATACACCCACAGAAAATTGTGAGAAGTTTAGAGCATCAGAATGTCGTTGGACCGATTGGTTTAATGAACAACAACCTTCTTCAGGAGAGAGTGGCGAAGATAATGAGAATTCAGATAAGCTGAGGTCAAAAGGATTAGAGGTATGTAAGCAAGAGGAAATTGAAAACCAAATTGAGTGCAGAGCTGAGCAATATCCTGATGTTGCTTACAAAGACATTAAACAAGTGTTCACATGTAATTTGAAAGAAGGATTAATCTGTCAGAATAAGGACCAAGCTGGTGATGATAAAATGTGCCGTGATTATGAGATAAGGTTTGAATGCTGTTCTAAAAAATTTGTTGAATCTTGTGGCAGCATAATTTCATCTTCAACTCCACCCTCATCTACCGAAGTGACTATGATTCCTACAACAACTGCTGTATCTCAAATGTCTTCATCTGGCGATGAAACTACTCCACCATACTCTTCAACTCCTGGAACATCAACTTCCAAAACTCCTGGAATTTCAACTGGTGTAACTTCAGAAACATCTTCAACTTCTGGTCCTGAAACATCTCCTTCGGGTAGTGAGACTACTCCCTCTGTCAGCAAACCTTCTTCAACTGGCTCTGTAACTGAAACACCAGGCAAATCCCCAGGAACATCCCCTTCTCCTGGCCATGGAACATCTACTTCTGTAGGTCCCACCACAACTGCTGTAGGTAAAACTTCACCATCAGAAAAACCTGGAACCTCCACGTCATCATCTACACCTACAGAAAAGCCATCAACAGGTGCTGTAACTGAATCCAAACATACACCCACGGAAAATTGTGAGAAGTTTAGAGCATCAGAATGTCGTTGGACCGATTGGTTTAATGAACAACAACCTTCTTCAGGAGAGAGTGGCGAAGATAATGAGAATTCAGATAAGCTGAGGTCAAAAGGATTAGAGGTATGTAAGCAAGAGGAAATTGAAAACCAAATTGAGTGCAGAGCTGAGCAATATCCTGATGTTGCTTACAAAGACATTAAACAAGTGTTCACATGTAATTTGAAGGAAGGATTAATCTGTCAGAATAAGGACCAAGCTGGTGATGATAAAATGTGCCGTGATTATGAGATAAGGTTTGAATGCTGTTCTAAAAAATTTGTTGAATCTTGTGGCAGCATAATTTCATCTTCAACTCCACCCTCATCTACCGAAGTGACTACGATTCCTACAACAACTGCTGTATCTCAAACGTCTTCATCTGGCGATGAAACTACTCCACCATACTCTTCAACTCCTGGAACTTCAACTTCCAAAACTCCTGGAATTTCAAGTGGTACAACTTCAGAAACATCTTCAACTTCTGGTTATGAAACATCTCCTTCGGGTAGTGAGACTACTCCCTCTGTCAGCAAACCTTCTTCAACTGGCTCTGTAACTGAAACACCAGGCAAATCCCCAGGAACATCCCCTTCTCCTGGCCATGGAACATCTGCTTCTGTAGGTCCCACCACAACTGCTGTAGGTAAAACTTCACCATCAGAAAAACCTGGAACCTCCACGTCATCATCTACACCTACAGAAAAGCCATCAACAGGTGCTGTAACTGAATCCAAACATACACCCACGAAAATTGTGAGAAGTTTAGAGCATCAGAATGTCGTTGGACCGATTGGTTTAATGAACAACAACCTTCTTCAGGAGAGAGTGGCGAAGATAATGAGAATTCAGATAAGCTGAGGTCAAAAGGATTAGAGGTATGTAAGCAAGAGGAAATTGAAAACCAAATTGAGTGCAGAGCTGAGCAATATCCTGATGTTGCTTACAAAGACATTAAACAAGTGTTCACATGTAATTTGAAAGAAGGATTAATCTGTCAGAATAAGGACCAAGCTGGTGATGATAAAATGTGCCGTGATTATGAGATAAGGTTTGAATGCTGTTCTAAAAAATTTGTTGAATCTTGTGGCAGCATAATTTCATCTTCAACTCCACCCTCATCTACCGAAGTGACTATGATTCCTACAACAACTGCTGTATCTCAAACGTCTTCATCTGGCGATGAAACTACTCCACCATACTCTTCAACTCCTGGAACATCAACTTCCAAAACTCCTGGAATTTCAACTGGTGTAACTTCAGAAACATCTTCAACTTCTGGTCCTGAAACATCTCCTTCGGGTAGTGAGACTACTCCCTCTGTCAGCAAACCTTCTTCAACTGGCTCTGTAACTGAAACACCAGGCGAATCCCCAGGAACATCCCCTTCTCCTGGCCATGGAACATCTACTTCTGTAGGTCCCACCACAACTGCTGTAGGTAAAACTTCACCATCAGAAAAACCTGGAACCTCCACGTCATCATCTACACCTACAGAAAAGCCATCAACAGGTGCTGTAACTGAATCCAAACATACACCCACCGAAAATTGTGAGAAGTTTAGAGCATCAGAATGTCGTTGGACCGATTGGTTTAATGAACAACAACCTTCTTCAGGAGAGAGTGGGGAAGATAATGAGAATTCAGATAAGCTGAGGTCAAAAGGATTAGAGGTATGTAAACAAGAGGAAATTGAAAACCAAATTGAGTGCAGAGCTGAGCAATATCCTGATGTTGCTTACAAAGACATTAAACAAGTGTTCACATGTAATTTGAAAGAAGGATTAATCTGTCAGAATAAGGACCAAGCTGGTGATGATAAAATGTGCCGTGATTATGAGATAAGGTTTGAATGCTGTTCTAAAAAATTTGTTGAATCTTGTGGCAGCATAATTTCATCTTCAACTCCACCTTCATCTACCGAAGTGACTATGATTCCTACAACAACTGCTATATCTCAAACGTCTTCATCTGGTGATGAAACTACTCCACCATACTCTTCAACTCCTGGAACTTCAACTTCCAAAACTCCAGGTGCATCTTCAGGAACCTCCTCAACTTCTGGTCCTGAAACCTCTTCTACTGGTAGTCCCACTTCCTCGCCTACGTCATCCCGAACCACCACTTCTATTTCCAGTTCTTCAACAAGCACAATAACAGTGACTTCTACTTCAGGGACAACTTCATATCCAACTTCATTTTCACCTGATACTTCATCCTCTACGTCTTCCTCTGGTACTACTGCAATATTATATACAACAAGCTCACCCTCTCCAAAGAACACATCTCCAAGTACATCTTCTGGGCATCCCTTAACTGACACCAGCACACCGCCATGCTCATGCATTGTTCAAGAAAAGTTCTTCTCTCCAGGTAAGACATAGTAGGAGAAGTATTGCTTAGTTTCTTAAAGACCTGCGATTAGATCCCAATGAAACATTTATCAGATCTATTTTCATTCCTAAAATCTGCAACCACCTCAATTTCGAATCTAAACTTACAAATTTTGCACCTCACCTCATGTGATAAAACTTCAATATGTTAGGGTGAAGCACACACAAAATTAATCACCCCTCTTGTTTTACCTTGTCTATAAGAGAAACAAAAGATTTCTCAAAATCTTCAACAAAATATGGCGCAAGTTCTAGAGATAAAGTATTAACATTTGTATATTTTGTGCACTTTTGCATAAAAAAAGGAATATTTTATAGAATGGGGCACCATGAGCTTGCATCCTCCCATCAGAAAAATACTTCCATACTAAACGTATGTTCACAGCTCAGCTCAATGATCAAAACTACAAAGCAGTTTGCAATAGAATTTGAGGACCCACAGGGAAACATATATTAAGAATATCACTACCTGCCATTTACTATCTGCAGACAGGTTGTGAATTAAAAACAGATCACCCAATGCAATTAGTGGCTGATCTGTGTGCATCTACTGATAGGGAAGTCTTTCAGACAAGAGGGGAGTAGCTAAGCTGAAAACCTACTGGCCCAGCATTCTGCAAAAAAAAAATCATTTTTTGCATGCAAAATTTATGAGGATTTGAACACGCAAAAAATACAGTAAGCCAAAATAAAAAATTCATTAAGGTAGCATCAGTTTCCAGAGTTTCACTTTAATTAGATGTGAGTGGCTGTGCATGCAACCATCCACTTCCATGTGACACACAAGGCATTCCACAACTCCTGACACATGTCATCTGGGGTGTGCTTGTATTTATTTCTCTTGACTATATTTCAAATTTTTTACTTAGTTACCTATAGACACTCAAAGAAGAATAACTTTGTATTAACTAATTTGCTGTTTTGCTTGTACTATACATCCCTGTCCCATAAATTGGTCCTCTGCCATGTTTGTCTTGAAAATAATAATAAAGTTTATAGGCTGTACTATTCCATTTATTGCTTTCTAAAGCATACATAAGTAGTGTTTGTTACTTAAAATTAAGCCATTCTTTATAATGGCCCATTGAAGAATTAAGATCCCATAAGACTAAGCATTTTACTGGTTTGCCCCTGCTATCCCCTCCTTTCATTCTTTATATAGGGATGGTAAAAGGGGCCAAGCCAATGTATGGTTCCAGGGTCTTTGTCTACCACCCAGCAGTCCAGGGTAACCTTATGGTTTCTGCTCTCCAATGGCCTTGTGTGAACTGTGCTATTCCTTGAGTGCTGAACACAAGCCTGGAATTATCCAAATTCATCATTAAACACAAGTGGATCATCTTAAACACAAATATATGATTTTTAAGCAGGAATTTTCCAAAAATGAATGTCTTTGTTAATTGCTTGTAACATCACACCAAAAATATGCACTCTCTACCCTCGGAGTGATTGTCGGCTTGGAAAGCAGCAAGGAAGTGATAAAATAATAAGCAGATTTTCAGGTCTACCATTTTATACTTCTTTCCAGTTATATTTATTGTTGTTCAAAGTGGATTGGGAGAATGTAAATGTTCAGACGCACTAGGAAGATTTTAATTTAAAAGGCTTTCAGTAGGCTGGTGGATGACAACAATTATGCAAAATGGTGTGATTAAAGAGCCAGTGTTCCTGTATAAAAAGCTGTGAACCTAATGTTAGGGGCATGGAAAAATAGTGCAATAATGTAGTGGGGTAGTGTCCCCATGTACAATAACAAAATAATCATTTGCAACAGTATCGTACTGAAAACAAGTAAGAACAATGCAAATGTTACATTAACAATTTATTTTCTAAATAGTAAAGAATGGCATCCATCCTACCATCCAGGCAAATAGTAGTATATTTTATAATACTTTATTTAAATAATATATTAAAATAAAAAAACTATAATAAATGTTCCCATCGGGTAGGTTTCATTGAGTATCAAATAAAACAATTTATTTGTTTTCATATTGCTTTTCTCAATTTTGCTTCTGTTAAATTTAAGATGATCTTGGTAAATTTAGAATTATTATTCATATATTCCAGGTGATATAATCTATGCCCAAGCAGATAAGGATGGCTGTGAATATCGTGCAATATGCAGCAAGACATGCACAGTAGAATACCAAAAAGGGCCATGTTCCACAACAGGAGACACACCTGTCACCATTACATCAGGAGAGGCTACGCATGTAATGAGCGTTACTTCCAAATATTCAACTTTGATCCGTCCAACCAAACGACCTCGACCTTCTGGTTCACCAGGCACATCAAGTACAGAATATTCAACAGAAGTTAGTACAGAGAGTCCCGTTATCTCATATCCCACTGGCTCACCCCCTGTATCGGAAAAATGTAAGTGACCTTTATGGATAAAATATATGCATATTTATATATTGATTTCTACTTTCAAAATGAAACATTTAGATTTTTAGTTTTACCTAAATAATTCATTTAAAATATTTTCACATAAAAATTAAATACTTTTTTGGTAATTAGAATTAGTAGAATGATACCGATCATCTTCCAGTGAACACATAAGAAAACAAATGCATAAAATATACTATAGTAAAAATGTTTCATTTTACTTTAAACACATTTATAGAAATTAAATCTAGTCATGGACATTGATTTCCTTATTTCAAGAGTTAGTGGATAGTACTTTTATTGTATAGTTTATAAAAATAATACGTAACATGGACCTTTCAATTATATATTTGCTTTTTTTTTTAATTAAAGAGCATTAATTCTCAAGCTACCAACTGTCAAGCAGTATAGTATATTTTAGATGCAGGATGGCACATAATTCCAATGTCAGACTTAGCAGATTTGTGGAGGAGCTCCTCTGAGATGCGACTAGCATCCATGATAGTCAGGCCCTGCCTCCTTTTAAAAAATGTTTTAAACATAATCTGCAACAAAACTTTGATGGTAATTACTTGTTATCTTACACACCCTAAACTAATTTCCCACATAAACCCATTAGTATGCATCCACCATTAAATAATTAGGAGACGTTCTTACTTTTTCTTAAAGGAACACTCCAAGAACCATAAACATTACAGCATGTGTAGTGGTTATGGTATCAGGAGTGCCTTGGTGTCCAGCCCCAAAGTAAGTAATCAAACAATCTCCTCACCTCAGTGATGTGGGGCTTAGTTCATTGGTGGACAGCAATCAGTTAACAAACTGGTCCTTCATGACAGGTAGGGTTGATCTCAGTCGAGCCCCCATACTGGAAGGGACCTGTTCATTGTGGACCCCTGGTAAGAAATAAAGCCATTCACAGATTGTTTGACTAGTTACATAAGGTAATGGGGAGAGAGGGGGCCCCAGGGCACACCTGGCACCATAACCACGACAGAGTTCTGTAGTGGTTTTTGTGCTTTGAGTGTTTTTTAAAATGCTCTTGTTTTTGGAGAAAAATATCTCTTATGAACATAATCAGCAATAAAATTCCTAAGCATGGAATTATAGGTTACAGGTTTGACAGCATCGATGAAAAACCCTCACTTGGAAATCATAACCCTTAATGCTGTACATACAGAAATATGATGAAACAGCTCTAATGTAATGAGAAATAGGCCAGTGTGAGGGAAACACAACCATCCACTGTCTGAAACACATTTTTTCCTGAAACCAGACGTTTGTAACTCTTGTTCAATAAGCACTCAACTGTGTTTAAATTCAGTATATATGCAATGTTCTATTGTTTTTTTTTTAGTGTGTGGACCCTGTGAATGCATAATGCCAAAATGTGAAACTGGATATCGTGTGGTGTCTTTCACACCACCTGGTGCATGCTGTGCAAACATCACATGTGGTAAGTACATGTTTCTGATAACTACCACTGTTGATTGACTGTGCTGAACAGGAGGGTCATTGATTCAAAACAACTACTGCTATGATGTCTTTTTGATGTTGCTTAACACATCTTAATACTGTGTTTATCATAAACTATCCCTCACTTACATTTCTTAAAACTACAGCACTGCATTTTCTGCAAACCAAGACAAAACAATCTGATATATTTTGCAATTAAGTGGTGTTACAATTCTATAATAATTATTATCATGTAAGTAACTAAGTGAATATTTTTCTAGTATTGCATATTATGTTGGTTATAACTGCATAACCCCTTAAAAGAATAACTACAACTTAACTTTGAATTGGTTATCGTGCCTGGAGTCCCCACAGACTGTCCCCCATTCAGTGATAAACCACTTTAGAGCAGTTTAACATTAAGTAAGGGTCTATGGCCACCCAAAGCCTGGCTCCTTCAGGAGGTGTGGCTAAGGCAGAGATTACACACTTCCTTGTAGTCATACCCTTTCTACCATCAGTTGGAGCTCTGATAGGTTTAAAGCAGTCAGCTCACATGCTCAACCAATCACAACTGCCCATTTCTGCTCAGGCTAATACTTTCTCATTAGCCAAAGCAGCACAGAGAGGATGGGCTGCTGGGGACTCACATTTAGCATTAAAACATAAACAAATTGTTTCATGCTGAAATAAATGACAGTACCTGGGGACTCCAGACACTATAACCAGTTTAATGAGACACAGTGCCTATAGTGTCACTTTAAGGACACATGATGGAATTTTTCCATCATACTGGCCTTTTACTTCTGAAGCTGTGTCCTTACGGGGATAACATATGCCCAATTACTGCAGGTTGAGGAATTTTTCAAAATTAGCTTTTTTGGCCTACATTTTGGTAGTGGTTTTCAGTTCATTACATTTGACCGTTCTGTTTTTCATAACCAGTGCGTAAACCTTACACTATAAAATGATATGTATGAAAACAAAAATATTAGTGCAATCCCTTTTGAGTGTCAATATTAAGCAGATTTAAAGATTTGGTTATGCACATTATTATTATTATTATTATTGTCATTTATATAGTGCCAACAGATTCCGTAGCGCTTCACAAAATTATACAAGTGGGGATTTAACCATAAATAGGACAATTACAAGAAACCTTACAGGAACGATAGGTAGTTGAGGATCCTGCTCAAACGAGCTTATAGTCTATAGAAGGTGGGGTGTAAAACACAATAGGACCGGAAATAGCAATCAAATAAGGTGGGAGTGAATCAGAGCTGGAGGAGAGAGTAAAGTGCTGCCCTTTAGGAGAGAGCAATAGACAGGCATATGAGGTAGAGCTTTCTCTGGGAGGCCATAAGCTTTCCTAAAGAGATGGGTTTTAAGGCACTTCTTAAATGATTGAAGACTAGGGGAGAGTCTGATGGCAGAAGGCAGGCTATTCCATAGGAAGTCCTGCAAGTGTGAGTTGGCCATATGGGTGCGAGCAACGGACAGGAGAAGGTCACGGGCAGACCGAGAAGGGGCATACCTATGGATCTGTGAAGAGATATGAGGGACTAGAATTTGTTAATGCTTTATAGGTATGGGCTAGACCTTTAAATTGACTCCTATAGGATAAAGGAAGCCAATGTAAGGACTGACAGAGGGGTGAGGTGTGAGAGGACCAACTAGAGAGGAAAATCAGTCTGGCAGCAGCATTGATTACAGACTGTAGTGGGGCAATACGTTTTTCGGAAAGACCAGTTAGGAGAGGGTTACAATAATCCATGCAGGAAATTACTAGAGCATGGACAAGCTCCTTAGTAGCATCTTGCGTAAGAAAGGGGTGGATGTGGGCTATGTTTTTTTTTTAATTCTTTATTTATAGAGTGCAAGAAATAACATAGTGTTCAGTAAGCCACAACAGCCTCTGTACACAGAGTGATAACAAGTCATATAAAACAGAGTTATGGCATTTGTATATATCGCACATTTTTTAGATTTTATAGTATGCTTAACTTGCAAGCTAAATAGTAAATGGCTGGAGCTACTGTTAAGGGAAAGTGGCTGAGCTTTGTGTATACATAGGCATGTTGCTAATCATTTTAAAGTAATACAGTAAATAAAGCATGAGGGAATGCATATAGCTAACAGCTAATAAAGACTTGCTGCAATTGTGCCACTAGGTCCCAGTCGCAAGCTTCTTGGTTAGAAGTAGCTCCGTTTTGCCCAAAGAACATAATAATAAAACATAAGCAGAGACATAATAATAGAAAGGACACAAGAACAAAAACAAAATACCCCTGGTTGAGAATAAGCTGGGGCACATATATGGCCTGAGTCCTTGTGGCTGACAGGTAGCAGTGTGCTGTTAGTTCAGCCTATGCCCGATAAGTAATGTCCAGACTGCCAAGAAGAGTGTGAGCTCCCTTTCACCGTCTTATATATCTGTCGTCGGTGTTGTGTCTTGTATATGCGTGCGCTGTGTAGCTGTGGTGTACCTGGTCCGGGCTGTAATCTGGAGCCGTCGTTGTCTGGGTGTGAGACGGGTGTCTTTGTCTTTCTGCCTCTTAGATCTGTCCGGACGGTGTTGGCGATGCGGTGGGCAGTTGATGTCTGCAGGCTTTCATTCCGGTTGTGGAGCTTTGTTTGTTGTGGGCCGCGATGACCCTGTCGGGTGGAGGGTGGTCCACACGAGCCTCCCACAGGAGTCTTTGGCGCCTTTGCTCCATTATTGTGTGTTGTCTTGGGGCGGTCCATGTCCGTCCGTCGCTTCCACCACCGGGCCACAGTACCTTGCACCCGCTCTTTCAGTGGCAACGCTTTGCTTGGATGCTTTTCATGCTTGCGGGGGGGTGTGTGGCGGCGTGCTGCCGTTGTGGCTGGTTTCTGTACCGGTTGCGAGCTTCTCTCCCGCATTCGTTCCCAGAATCTCAGGCAAACAGCATCGAATTTCGCATTGAAGGCTGCTGCCCATTCTTCATTAGTCTGCTGCATCAGTTTAGCGGCTGCACAGTCGGCCATATTAGCTGGGCCTTGTGGGTTTGCCTGAACGGCGTTGTGTCGTGATGTGTCCCAGAGGTGGGTGCTCTTAGGGCGCTGGTGGACCGGGATGACCCCCACCGGTCCAGAGGGGGGGGACAGGTGCCCTTCTTCACTAGGGGCTTCTTTCGTGGGGGGGGAGAGCGGCCGTCTCTCCTGCTCCCGCCTTTCGAGTAGGCCTCAGTTACTTGTTCTGCAAATATTGCTCAGTTCGTCGCTTGATGGGTATCTTTGTGCTCAGATATTTGTCCCCTTTCAATTGCTGGCTTTGTTGGGCCGGTTGGTCGCCGTTTGGGTCGTGTAAAGCGGCTTTTCATGCGGGCTATAGCAGGAGCCCTTGAGGATGTCGACCGCTCGGCTTTGCAGTCAGGCCCCGCCCCCGTGGGCTATGTTTTTAAGATGGAATCTACAGGACTTGGTAACATGCTGGATGTGACGCTCAAATGTGAGGCCAGAATCAAGTATGACACCAAGACAGCGCACTTGCAAGGTTGGACTGATGTTGATACCACTAATCTGAAGGGAGAGCAAAAGAGGAGGATCAGTATTAGGAAGAGGAAAAACAAGGAGCTCCGTTTTAGAGAGATTTAGTTTCAGAAAGCGGGAGGACATCCAGTCAGAGATGAATGAAAGGCAAGCAGTGACACGTTGCAGGACAGCAGGACAGAGGTCCAGGGAGGAGAGATATTGCTGGGATTGTGGGAGCATGAACTAATGAGAGAGGAAAAGTAATTCTGTTTGGCGAGTGCAAGGGCTGCGCTGCATGAGCCTAATATAAATCTATAATGTAGAAAGTCTGACTGGGTGCGAGACTTCCTCCAGGAGCGTTCAGCACAATGGGAGCATCTTTGCAGGTAGCATGTTTATTTAGTGTGCCATGTTGGGTGTCCTCCTCGAGGTGCATGTTTGGAGTGGGACTGCAGTGTTCAAAGCAGAGGTGAGGGTAGTGTTATATATGGAGATGGCCAGTGAGGGACAGGAGAGGGAAGGGATGGATAGGAGTTGTGAATCAATATCAGCTGACTGCTGCTGCAGTGAGGCGAGAGTAGAATCCCTACACCACCACCTTTACATTCAAAGTGCCACCAAAAGATAAAGATGCAGGGGTAGCAGTGTCCGAGAGGGAGAGGCATGTTTCTGTTAAGGCTAGTAAATCTAGGGAATGAGAGATGAAGAGGTCGTGGACAGCAGTGGATTTTGTAATATTGCAAACAGAGCATGCATTTCAGAGGGCAGTATTGAAGGAGGATTTAGAGGAAGAGTAACAGGAAAGGGGTATGAGATTGGTGAGGTTCCTTGAGTTAGTGCGTGGTGAGTTTGCTGAGGGGGGACACGGGGTTTTGAGAGCCATCACCAGCTTCTAGGAGCAGAAGGATAGAAAGGAAGTGAAGGTGGGAGTGGGTTTTGTAAGAGGGTATGTATATATAGAGGGTATGTATATAGAAGATTTAGGAGGAGTTGGTGGAGATAGGCTGGAAAGGTATAGATAGAGAGTGGAGGGGAGTAAAGTGGGGTCAATGAAGATAGTGTCACCAGGGACAGGTGAGCAGAAGGATAGGGATATTTTGGTACTGAGAGACGTTAGAGTGAAAGCGAAAAATAGAAGGGAGAACATTATTTAGAGAAAATGTGTTTTGTTGTATAGATATGAAAATTATATATATATATATATATATATATATATATACACACACACATATACCTATGAGTGTTTAAATCATGGTTAAGAATGCAGTTTGTTAACAGAAGGATTTCAGGTGAGGAGAGGTTTAGTGAATTGATTGGTGTGTTTTAATTAATTCATTAATTTAACCGCTGCATTTTACATTTGAATATTTATCCAGATTTGCTCTCTTTCAGGCACACATTATGTTTAATGTGCCTCTAGGTCATTGGATGATTAGGGATAAAGACTACTGGAGCTGGGAACATAGTTTCTAATTTATCTGAATTTTAATAATATTGTTTATTTTTTTCTATAAATAATATAATGATAATCCCTAATGTGTTGACTGAGAAAAGTCAATAGAAATGATCCCCAATAAAAAAGAGCTCCCCAAAAACTCTATCAACAAAACATTTCAAAAACATTTTTAGGATATGAAGTATATAATTTAGCAGAGACTTTCCACGTGAAAACTGCCCTAGTAAAATAATTTTTTTTTTTTTTTAAAGCTGTAAAATAATCATGTATAAAATTGTGGTAAGACTAAGCATTGAATAATTAATCTACTTAAAGCAGGTAAATAACCTATTGATCATTCATTAACAGAACCTGATTCCGTATGTGTGGCAGGAAATACGATATACCAGGTAAACACATTATTCATTAAACTATTTCTGCATTGTGGCGATGCACTGGACCTGGAAAATGATTTTGCTAATTATTGTGTCTAACACTATTGTGATTTAATATAAAAAAAAAATTAAAAAAATTATGACTGTAGAATATTTTATTTTTAGGGAATTCTACTAAAGCCAGTGAATGCTGATTTCATTATATTTTTATGTTACACAGCAGACTATACATATATACATATAAATCATTATCAAGTATTATTATTTGACTTTTTTTAACAATCATTTTTTTTTCTTTTAACTACTAAATCTGGCAAATGCTTACATTCACACATAATTCCTAATTGTTTTGCCCTCTATCTAGCGTGGATCCACAATCCCGCAAGAAAAGGATGTATGCCAAAAGTGTGAATGTTCTGAAGAAGACAAAGATGAGAAATCAGGGCTCTATGCTGTAAAATGTGAACCAATTGTGTGTAAGGAAACCTGTGATGAGGTATGTACTTCTTTATGAGTGGAGCCATTTTGGTTTTTAACTTCAAACTATTTTTTTTAAAATGTAAGGAATTTCAATTAACTAAATCAAAGTGTTGCCAATGTTCTGTATATATATATATATATATATATATATACTACAACAACAATAAATGTAATAACAATTATATACAGTTATTTACAAGAAAACATGTAGTCTGTACTAACGATGAATTTTTAGATTGATACATTGGGTAATAAGAAAACAAATAATGTTGACTGAGTGTGGGCCATATAGTGGGGATGGAGATTCAATATCCTTTAGAGTAGAGTGCCTGTTAGTGGCGAGACAATGAGCCCAACCTCAGCTGACTCAGATTTTATTTATTATTTTTATAAGTTGTTTTTAATGCGCATACATGTTTTCAGGTTTAGCCCTCATGTAATGATCACATAAGGGGCAAGACGCGACACATGTAGGCTAGGTTTGGCATGATGGATACCTATATTTACATTTTGACTTTATAATTTAGACACCTGCAAAGTAGACGACTTCATAGGGGTTGGGGGGATGGGACTCTGTTCAGAAATTAATGTGTACTGCTGTCCAGCAAATGGCATAGTTACTCTAGAGCACACACTGTTATTATATCTTCTCTCACCTCACCCATTTTGACTCTGGAATTGCCTGTTTTTTGTTTTGTGGTTGATAACTTATAACTATTAATCATGTTTATTTTTTATAATTTATAAAACAAAATGGTGCTGTATTAGATATGCATATCTAAGTCCTGAAAGCTGATAACTTCACCCAGCACTGTCTACATTCCTCTCTGATCCTGATGCTTATTGGCATATTATTTCTGGAATCTTTATACCAACGTTACCTATTTTTCTATTTTTTCTATCACTGCCCTACAAAAAAAGAGAATATATTTTAAAAAAAACAACATAATTTTTTTTAAAACTTACATATAAAAAGCTCACTGATTTGTCATAAAACAAATAAATAAAAAAAATAAACAAATAAAATAAATTTATGGTATAGCATCTAAAGAAAGTTACAAAAATCAAGGATAATTGAAATATATTTTTTCAATTTCCAGATAGATTGCAGTTTATATATTTTTTTGTTGACTGCATACTTCCCTCTTCAAAAGATAAGGATTTACACTGGTTTTAGATGTCTGAATTTGTTCAGAAATATTAGGCTGTGAATGGTGGGAAGGAATCTTGGTCCCACCTTGGATGGCCCCTCTCCCATTCAAATTGCAACAGATATATATGAGTAATGAGGAAGTGAAACTTTTACATTATCTCCACTGTAGCAGAAGGATCAGGCTTTGAATATGAGGAGATCTATAGTTGTTATTTTTTTATCAACCTGCTTGGATTTTGTTTTTGACAAATAATGGAAGGAATGCTCTGAAAGACTTGGTGTAATGCTTATGGTGTTTAGAGTGCTATGTAAAAGCTTCCCCAACAACTTGCTTTGCAAGAGTATGGTAGCTCACTTCCATTTTACTTGGGTTTTTTGTTAGAGAGAAATAATCAACATCCCCATGCGCCATATTCATGTGTTTTGTTTTTTTACTGCTGAGGATTTAGTGTGTACAGGCTAATAACAAGTAAACATCTTGAAGTCATATAATAATTTTTTGTTCTACTCTTTTCTTGTTTTCAGGGCTTTGCTTACATTGTGAAGGAAGGACAATGCTGTGGTGACTGTGTGCCAAAACAATGCACAGTCAAGGGAGAGAATGATGAACAAGTTGTTTTTAAGGTAAACACAAAGGCTTGATATTAGAGATGTCGCGAACCGTCCGCGAACTTCTTGCGAACGGTTCGCCACGGTTCGCCACGAACCGTTCGCGGCGAACTCTGGTCAGCTGACACATCCTGGCCAATCTCAAGCAGACCCTCCCTCCCAGACCCTCCTACTTCCTGGACAGTATCCATGTTGAAGGCAGCTTCAACATGGATGCTGTCCAGGAAGTAGGAGGGTCTGGGAGGGAGGGTCTGCTGGTGATTGGCCGGGATGTGTCAGCTGACCAGAGTTCGCCGCGAGAAGTTCGCGGACGGTTCGCGACATCTCTACTTGATATACCTTATCAATAAATAATTACCAAGTGATACCGCACTCAAAAGCAAAAGTATATCTGAATATGTCCCAAGGACATCTGTGTTCCACCTTGCACTTTAACAGTGGTGAGCAAACCAATTTATTGTGCTATCTATATGTATACATTGTGTTTCTTTACATAAATAGATGAGAACTATGTTTAATTCTATTAAGTTGTGTCAATAAATTTATATTCAGATATACTTTTGCTTTTGAGTGTCGTATCACTTGGACATTTTCTATTATGTGATTTAGGGTTTTTAGAGTTGACCCAGATACCTGCACCTTCTGTTTTGATAGAGTGCAAGTACTATTTGGATTTTTTCATACCTTATATATGTTAGAGAGGACCATATAGGGGAATTCATTTGGATATGATAATTCTGTTCTTGGTACTCCATATACACTCAAAGATAAATGTGCAATTTGGGTTTCATACTTCTTAGGTAGATAAAACAAGCGCTATTAGCAGGCTAATAAAACATATATGCCAACTGAGGACACACCAGGACAAAACTTTAAAACTAGCTAAAACTGAATATATTCTTCCTGGTTAAATAATTTTATGTTATCATTACTATTAATATTTGGTGTGATCAAAGTGAAGTCTTTCTCCTTGGCATACTTATTTGTTTATTTACGCATATTATTTATAATATTCCTAAACTTGTCGAAAATAAATAACTCAGATATGTGTCATGTGATAATATGATGGCTTTAAGCAATGTCCCCATCTTCAGATTCAATAATTCTGCTCATTTATAGGTTGGGGAAACCCATCGCCCTGAAGGCAGCACATGCGATTACTATGAATGCGATGAAGAAGATGGTAAACCAATCCTGACCAAAGTGAAAAAGATCTGCCAGGAATTAGATGTATCTAAATGTGAAAAGGTAATTAAAAATGTTATCTAATTCAAATTCTATACCTGAGCTATATGGATCTATCTTATACAGGAATTAATTCTTAGATGATTATAATTGCTGAAGCACCAAAAGATGTTTCATTCTACTTTCAACCTTTATTTGCATGTAATGCACTGTGATGTAATTACACAATCAGTAAAATGAATGTTTTGTTTAACACTGAAAGAAAAACCGAAACTACACATTTCTCATAACTCATAAAAACGTGTTGCCATTGGCAGTAGAAGATGTTCACAAGAGCTATTTTTAGTGTCCATTGACACTAAAAACAGTTACGCTCTCAATGTTAATTTGTGGCTTTGTGGATCTGAAAATTACAGTGGGCTTAATTACAAGATTTAATTTAGTTTTTTTTCTGAATTCTGTCTGTAGCTAGAGTTTACAGCCAAATATAAAATAATCTCCATACATTTATAAACTAAAGAATTTCAAGCATAAAAATAAATCTTCACAAGTAGGATGTGGCACAGAGGCATCCACTGGGAGAACTATAGGGCATAAAACACAAATAATCCATCTTTTGGATTACGGAGTACAGAGAGCCCATATGTAATAAGTCTAGGGCACATTTGAACCTCTCCATTTGTAAATCAGAGCGGGCAGTGCCAGAGCTACCTATGTCACTTTAGGAGTTACAAACAGAGCTTGTTATGATAATCAGCCAAACCTGGAAAAAGTTCCTAAATAGTCCACATTGTTTAGTATTTGACGGAGAATATGTTAATGATCGGATGGTGGTGTTTATTTTTTTTTTTTTTTTACAGGCTACAATCAAATATGATGAAGATGGTTGCTGTCAGACATGTACTCTGAAGACAGGTAACACATATTTGAGCAGTGCATGCATAAAATAAAGTTACATCCTAACATGTTCAATATATAACTTATTATGTAATTTTATGACTATGACTATTTTAAGGTATGTACAACAATATTAACATTAGGAGTACGTGATCAATATTTACTTTTGGATCAGTTTATATATTTGCGTGCACAAAGTCGTTTAAAAGTAGCTTGCAAATAAACCACTATTTTCATTTTCAGAAGTCATAGTGGAAGAAAAACCTGTGGCAGGTGGAGACTGTAGTTCTCGCAAGAACTTGACTGTTCTAAAGGAAGGTGACTGTGAAATTGAGCTGGAGCTCACCTACTGTGGAGGACCTTGCATGGGATCATCTATGTAAGTCACTTTCTTGAAAACTATGTAGATTAGATTATTGATTATATCAACATGTACCCCTGGAAAGTTTTATAACTCTTGTTTATGTCAAATGAACCACAAAAGTGAAAATTACCTATTTAAGGCCAGAGACCATTATTTCCATAACTGTGGACAGCCTAGTCAATATTTACATTTGTGAAGTGTGCTTTTATTTAAAAATTATTTGCTTCAGTGTTTCAGTGAAAGCACTACTCTTAGATTCCTAAACCTTCAGAATGTGTGATTTATTCCATGTACTATGGATCCTCTCACCAAGTATCACCGTTAATGGATAGATTGAGTCAGTGCTGTTGTATTTTTTCTGATTGCATAGCGTTCTAACCACTAGAACTCAATGTAATGGGTCTGGTGCAAAGAGGCTGTTCTGTAGGCTGACAATTGTAAACACTGCCTTTGTGAGGAAAGACTACCTCTAGTGGCTGTCACTCAGATAGCCACTATAGGCCTTTTCTAGTGCAGTCCTGAAATCTTTGCTCATGTTTAGCATTTTCATGCTCTGCGTGAAGACACCACACGCTCTCCATAGAGATAAATTGATCTAATGAATCTCTATAATGCCATGCATGTGCATTAGCTCTCCAATGCTTCTCTGGTCAGAAGTTTTGGATTGTCTGAATTCATCTGTAATGATGATCTCAGCTAGGGTAGGAGCTGTGACTGCGGCAAGAGCTGACATGCTTGGGGACTAACTGTAAGTAAAACTGCTTTATTTTACTTAAGAGTGGCCCTGAATCTTATAGAGAGGAAGCACTCTAATGTTGTGTTTACATGTTTGTACTCCTAATGTTAGCATGTACCTTTAATTTTGGACGGGACTCATACCCAATATACATCAATTTCATTGGAATGTTACTAATTATCTACATTTAATTTAGAAAGCTTTAGATGTAATTATTTATGAAACCAAGGGTGCTTTACAAATATTATTGATTTTGCACTGATGATGGGTTACAGACAGTGCACTATACAATTAGATATATAAGTATGAAAGAAACAGAAAGACTATGTCCTTTGGGCTTGTAATCATACAACAATTCTCACATTCCTTCAAACTTTGCAATTGTTCGTAAATAATGTTAGGACACAAACTATGGCATTGGCTACTTAACTGCATGACCATTTTTGAGATCACTTAGGGGGTTTACATACCTCTCATGCGTCATACTTTTCCCATTTTGTTTGCCACACTAACATCACTAATTGCAAGTCTTTATTTTTAAACACATTATTTATTTTGTTATTTATATTTGTGCTTTGTTACTCAATCCCACTTCCCTAACCCCCCCCCAAAAAAACCAACAAAATAAAAAGTGTTTTTTCTTTTGTTTTTTGTTTTGCATGGTCAGAAATCCTGCAGTAAAAGCAGTAATATTTTAAAATTAATTTTCTTTTTTCTTTTTCAAGGTATACCATGGAAGCTCAAGATATAGATCATCAATGCACCTGTTGTACAGAACAAGAGGTGGTAGAAAGGCAGGTTGAACTCTTGTGTGCAAACGGTCAACGAAGGAGCTACACCTATAAAGACGTGGTGAAATGTGGCTGTGCTGGGGCAATTTGTACACCCATCTCTGAATCTTCAGAGCTAGCACAAAACCAATATCAAACTCCATCGTAAATGAAGGAAAAAAGAGCAAGGCAAATAACACCTGTTTGCATGAAGAAAGAAGGGTTATCTTATGTAAATGTTCTTAAAATTTTCCTAAATTTCTATTTTTATTGCAACCACCGTAGTCTAGTCAAAAGACGCACACATGGGCCATCTCACAGCTATATCTGGCTCTATCGTAAAAACCATAAAGAACCATTTCCAAAGAGCAAATACACTATTATTACGACTATTGTGATCCACTGCCTTGCTGTCATTACTATGTTTGTTTTTAATTCTGTTAAATCTTCCACAACACTGTTGGAGATGCTATTATTCAGAAATGCTTTTTGCTCTTGTTCTGTTAACCTTGTCCATTCTTTTTATAGTCCATGTCAATAAATGACAAATGTCATAGCAATGATGTGATTTGAAGCATTTTATTTAACCTATATTGCATGAATTTTGGGGAAGAGTGTCCATTCCAAAGGTTTGGGAATCAAAGAATTAATAAAAAAATGGAATAAATGTAAGAGTTGCATTCACATTTTAAGTAGGATAACAGATTCTTAAGGGTTCTTGATCTGTGGGCATGAAGTGTATTTCTGCTTCTACAAATAGGTACATTCCCAGAATTGCCCAAAATATATCTTATGGAAATGTACCATATATTTTAATTAAAAAAAACCCAACACAATTGTATTTTCATTATAAAATAACATGGTATAAAAAAGCAACACAAACAGAAGGTACAAGCAAATAAATCATAGATCATAACAACTTCACCTTTTATTCCGGTTTGTTCCAGGATGAAATAGTAATTTTCAATAAGTATATTATATATCAAATTAGATCTATGAGTGCATTCAGATAGGTTCAAATTTTATTATATTGAATACAATCACTTTGAAAAACAATGTAATGACAAATAGAGGGTTGGTTGTAATAAAGTGATAATTGTACCTGACTCACATTATCCAGATGTAAGGTATAGTAAGGCAGGTATAAGCAATTTGCTATATGACTATAGGAAATCACTTTCTTCAAAGATCTGACTGGGATGACTCAGAAAACCCACCATGGTCAGACCCTAGAAATCATGTCTGGTGCTCCTGATGTGTAAAATATATATTAAAAAAAATAAAAAAGTAAATAAATAAAAAAGTTAAAAGATGAAGATAAATGACTCGAGGTCCTCAGAATACCCTAATTTAATCTGGGCAGAGCAAGTGTGGGTTCCTATACACCACACACATCATTCATTGTAGTGTTGAGGCCTGAAAACATTAGCAGCAGTCATGCACAATAACATACAGCGGCAGTCATGCACAATAACATGTATGTAGGCAGCCACAGGCATTGGAAAACACATTCATGTAATGATAGAAACACAAAGGCATGTTCATATTTTATCTCTCTCCATCTGTCTCCTTTTTTGTGTTTCTGTTCCCCTCAACTGAATGCCTACAGTCCCACCTCATCTAAACTGATCTTACTTCCATGTTTTTCTTGTCTCTTTCCCTCACCATTCAGCTGCCTCCATGTTATCTCATCATGCTAGTGATGTACTGTAGCTGAGTGTCTGAAGTAGCAAGTGGTATGTTCTGGCTGGTCAGCCCACTCTCATAATGAAATTCCATTGGTAGTGGCCAGTCTATATATGTGGGGAGAGTGGGAACAGAAAAAACCTTTCTGGCTCACAAAAAAAACCTTTCTAGTTCACAAAAAGCACAAGCATGCCAGAACTTCCTCATGGTAAGAGCTAACAGAGCAAATGGCTGATGAACCCCACCTGCTACTGCACCAGCTGCCTGGCTACAATACATACATATGGAACAGAGGCCTCTGCAACTGGCCAGGTCAGGTGCTGAGGCCTGTGGCCTCAGGACATGACCAGATCCCTGAACAGGAGCCCTAATGGCAGACCTTGTGACTTGACTGGGTCCCTAAACAGAGGCCAAAATGGCAGTTTCTTGCACTACTATGTTTTTAATATGGATTGAATACCATAAAAGACAACAGAACTTCAACTAGTTTCCCCCTTTACATTTTGCATATGGCAGCTCATTGTTTATTTGCAAGATCATCCATGGAGGTATGGAAAAATCTATACTGTGTTGAAAAATTGCTTTGTAATAAAATGACACCATACACCATAACCACTATGAACTCATACAGTGGTTATGGTGCCCAGAGTGGCCTATGTGCACATCAATGTAAGTAGTCAAACTGGGGTCTATCAGGCATGCATGCCTGCCTTCTCACAGCTGCCAGGGAAGCTGTAAGCTCCTGTTTAGGAACTTTTGTTAGCTCTCCTCATCAAATACCTGCAGTACAGGGCAAGCTCATTGACAGAAAGCACCAGCCGGGCAAGCTCATTGGCAGAAAAAACGGGCTGCATACTCTCAGCCAATGGACTAACCCCGTACCACTGAGGTTAACTCAAACAGGGAGATTCTGGCTCTCAGGAGACTTTAGGGGAGGTGGAGAGTGGTGCCCGAGTTGCTACTAACCGCTAAAAGTTTGACTACTTATAATGGGGGTGCCATCTTACTCCTGGCACCATAACCACTACTCTACAGTGGTTATCGTGCTTGGAGTGTTCCTACACCTTCTTGTTATTCTTACTGTTCCTTGCATAGGCGTGCGCATGGGGTGTGCCGGGTGTGCCTAGGCACACCCTAATCCCCGTGGCCCGCGCTATGTGCCTCCCTCCATGGGCCTGTGAAGGAGATCAAAGATCTTCCTCACCGACCCACAGGCAGTGAGGGAGGCAGGAAAGGACCCCAGGATGCGGGGCAAGAGTTCACTCACCACTGGACCACCAGGGATGGCGGCAGCATAGTCCCACCTCCCTACAAAAGGTAAGAAGGGAGGGGGGATATTAACTAAACAGCCCTCCCACCCCCACACAATGCACACAAACATACAGCACACACACACATACATCACCCTTACACACACAGCAATCACACTAACAGCACCCTTACACACACACTAACAGCACCCTTACACATACACGCACACACTAACATCACACACAGCACCCTCACACACACACACACTAACAGCACCCTCACACAGCGCCCTCACACACACACAGCGCCCTGTCAAACACACAGCGCCCTCACACACACAGCGCCTGCAAACACACACACAGCGCCCACACACACACAGCGGCCTCACACACACAGCGCCTCACACACATACAGAACCCTCCCACACACACACACAGTGCCTTCACACACACACAGTGCCCACACACACAGCACCCACACACACAGCACCCTCACACACACACACAGCGCCCCCCCACACACACACACACACACACAGTGCCTGCACACACACACACAGCGACTTCACACACACACAGCACCTTCACACAAACAGCGCCCATACACACACACACAGCACGCTTACACACACACACACAGCGGTATGTGTGTGTGTGTGTGTGTGTATATATATAAAACTATATATATATATATATATATATATATATATATATATATATACGCGATGTGTGTGTTTGTGCTTTAGAGTGCACATCCTTATATAATAGGCTGCGCACGCCTATGGTTCCTTGTTATTCTGATAATTTATAATGAGTAGTTCTGGCAAAGTAATTAGTTACCTGTTCCATTGCTATTTCATAAGGCTAGACCTTCAGCTATCACAATCCTTTTTAATCCTACTGAAGCTTCTTTATTACTTCTTAGTCTGCCCTCGATTTGCTCAACAATTAACTTAGCTATAATATTTTTTTTTCCAAGGATTAAAAACAAGAAGGTGGAGTGCCCTATAATTTAACTATTAAATAACTTATAATAATAAGGGAACCAGTATGACAATTTTTATAATTTAAGAAATATAATTGCATAGATATGACAAGGATACAACTCTAAAAGGTAAACCTTGCTTATCTCACATGAAGAGGCATACAGGTTTATTCAGTAAATTCAGAATTTTGTCCGGACAGACAAAATCAGGTAAAAGTGACAGAATTCTGACCACAATGACAATTCTCATATTTACCAAAGCCAAATACGGTCGTAATTTGATCAGCCTGAGCGAATCTCCAGCAACCACCTGGATGCAATCAACTCCTGGATTAAAATCAATGCTTTCGCTACCGAACCCTATACAAAGTATTGGATTTGGAATATCCACAAACCACCAGTGTTAATCAAATTCAGAACCAAATGCATCAGGATAGATGTAATTCCACAAATGATTGCTCACAAATTATTGTTCACTTGCTTTTTTGCAGTGATAATTTTAGATACTATTTGTCCACTGACATTGCTAGCAAAAAAAGGCAATGCAAGCATTAATTTAAGTGGCTTGTTATCCTGTCACATTAAAAAAGTTAAAAATAATAAATTAATGCATATAACCACTATGGGGGTCAACAGGAACCCATATTAATATAAGAGAGGTTTAAAACTGTCCCATTCACCCAACTGCTGTGGCAGGCTAAGGCATATTTGCTAAATGTTAAAAACTAGTGATTTAGCGACTGCTGCAAGGTGGATGGATTACTTAATAAAAGAAAAGAAGTGACTTCCTATAATCCCCCACTGCTGCCACCCGTGGTCAGCGGTTATGGGTTATTACGACATAGAGGGAAAACCTAATGATCTTCCACTGGCCACCCACCTCTTGGTAGTGGGTGGGTGTCCTAGTAAATTTTCAAGGAGGGGGCTGTGTGTCTTCCCCATGGCCCTCATCTGTCTGCAGTGGCCTTAATTATTATATTCAAGGAGGGGACCTAGTGTTCTTCAACAGCCAACACCAATGGGTGGAGTTGTGGGGCCCAAGATAATGAAACGATGGATGTGGACATGCTATTGATCACCTCCCCCCAATAGTGTCATTTCTACCCTCTCCCCTCCAGGTGGCTAGAAGTCCCTAACCCTCTAGTCAAACCCCATTAAAATGTAATAACACTACCTACCCCCCTCACCTTAATAATATTGAAAAGAGCAATTAAGCTAATACATGTAAAAGAAAAAAAAAACTTACCACTAGAAGTCTTCTTTCTTCTATTTATTATTTTCTTTAGCTCCAAAAAGGTTAAACTAAAATACAAAATTCTGATTAATAAACCATCCCAAAAATAAAAAAAATATAGCAAATCATTAAAAACCAAACACAATACATATAATCAATTTTTTCCAAGCAAAGTATTTTCCATAGTATGTCAGCTATTGCATTGTTTAGTTTTTTTTTTAATTTATTGTCCATTTAATTTGCTTTGTCATTTGGTCATATAGCAATTCAAAGTTACGGAATAGGGCGGCATGCCTATTGCCTAAAATTCG